ACCGAGCTCGAAGGAAGCTTCCGTCGAGCGTCGCGAAGCTCAAAGTGTGGCCAATGGGCGCGGCGCAGGTAGTAGGGCTAGACGCACGGGAATCCGCAGCGGTCGCTGGGGATCATGTGTTGGTGAGTGATGGGAGACGGGCAGTGTGTCGGCGCGGCGAACCAAGGTTCAAGTTCGGCAGGTGCGGGTGGGGCCAAGACTCGCCGGGAAGGCGCGTTCGGTGGCTACGGACGGGGATGGCGACACCACTCAGGCAGACGAGCTCAATAACTACGGAAGATTCTGAACGTCGCGGAAAATGCCAGAACAGGTGGTACAAGCACGGGCAAATATTGGTAGAGCTGCGCGCAATGTTCCGACGGCGCTGGCTGATCGATATACTGCTCGTGGACTAGGACGCGGTTAGGTTTGAGCTTCAGGTGACGGCGCGAAAACAGGCCATGTGAGGGCTGCACTGCGAACAGCCGCTGTAAGGGTGACTTGCAGCAGGCAGGGCCGAGCAGGGCAAGACAGGGCAGGGCAGGACAGATGGAGCGAGCGAACGGTTGGGGAAACGAACCTTGGGTGGTGCAGGCTGTCTAACCAGCGACGGGAGCAGGAGCCCTTGGTGCAAGATATGTATGGGCGGCTGTACGGGCTGTATGGGCGTATGTGTGGGCGATTGGCGCGGCGCTGCGTGGTGCGGGAGCAAAGACCACTGGGTGCTGCTGCAACTGGGAAGTCGGGTTATGGTGAATTACGAAATGGGAGCGAAGCCCAATCTGATATGCCCTGCAACCCCAGCAGCTGACGGCCCGCGCGGCGGACGTCGACAGTCTTCGTCTAGTGAGCAAATGGCACGCACTGACAATGGCGACAAGCTTCAGGCATTAGAGGCGCTGCAGTGTGATAAAAAGTGGCTCTCCCGCGGCCCTGCACGAGCCGGTGGCTTTTCACTACCTCGAGAGCGCAGAGCGCACGGAGCCGAACAGCATTACTTGCATCATGCTGCGAGATAGCGACCGCTAGCTTGGATCTTGCTCTCGATATTCCGTCTCCACTCCAGAGCCAAGCACCCGAGCGCGCCGGGCCTTGTTCTCTCATGCTCGATGCTTTCTGCGCGAACGCGAGGCCTGGGTCAGACGCGCTGCCTATCCTGTAGTCTCCACCACTCACAAGTCCGCCTGCTGCTGATTGAGCAGCTCCCGGCAAGGCGACCGTGTCAGCAGGCTGCTATCGAATCATTGATTTTAGACCCGTGGGCCTGCAGCCCGCCCAAGACAGACTACGCTGCCGCCTGCATTGGCGGCCGCAGTCGTCATGCATTCGACCTTCTCACTCTATCAATCAACCCGTATCGTCTGACTCCTCAGCGCCCGTAGCCAATTCCCCCCAGCCCGCTCATGCTTGCCGCAACAGCCGAATAAGGAAGCCCAACTTTATTGCGCTGCATCCGTCAAAAGCAGTAGTCCTCATCTTGGACGCGCTTCTGCTGCCTGCTCTGCTCGTATTCCCGCTACTCCGTCAAGACGTCTAAAAATGATGCGCTGATCGCCGACCTTTGCTTGTCCTGTGCAATTCGTTTTCCTCTAGCATTTCCTAGGCCCAGTTGAGGCTCGTCCTCTCGTAGCGCCGTCGGTCTTCGCGGGCCTATGGGCAGTGCTGCAGCTGAAAGCTCCAAGCGCATCCACAGCATCGGAATCGCTTCCTACTCTCTCCTCTGGCCCAAGCATCCAGTTGCAACGCTTGGACGCTTCGATATTCATTCTTCGTTCCGTGTGGACAGCAGATTCATCGCAGAGTTGGCGATCTGTTCCACCAAGCGACCCGTTCCCCGCCGAACCAACAAGGGCAGAAGTGTTAATGACCCTTGGCCTGCCCGTGCTGTAACCGATCCCCACCATGCTACCTTGCTCGTATCTCACATCCCTTCCGCAGCTCGCGCCACTGCCTTAGCGGGAGTCGAAACGCCATGTCCGTTCGTCTTTCCTGTCCTAAGCGCTGTCTAACTCACTTTGTCCGTGCGCCGTGTTGTTGACATGCTCTTGAAACTACGCGAGTTCAAGACGTAATCTATCTGGACGGACCACAGACTGTGTCCATCTGTAGGCCTGGATGCCGGCATCCGCTTCGGCATCTTGGAGCACGCAACCTTTCGCGTCTCTTTCCTGACGCGTTTGAGGAGGCTGTGCCACATTATTCCATGTCTTAGACCCTGAGGCCCCAGTTTGTCATCTGCCTCTCTCTGCAGGGTCTAAGCCAATTGAGAAGTGTTTGCCATTCTTTGTTTGCTAAAGCCCTTCTTGCGTCCGAACTCGGTACTGTCCAGTGGGGTATGAAGAAACAACACGGACGATCAGTCTTCTTGAACAGAGTGATGTGAACAGAGTGCAGTCGTTTATATCCGTACCCTTCGTAAACCGAGACTACCACACAAGTGGGACATGTCGTTCTTGTTCTATGGTCCGACACCTGCCACATATGTCGTGAGTGTCAACGCGAGAACGGCTCCAAGTCCTCTACCTACTCTACCCCTCGTTAGCATCGTACCGACCTTTGACGTCCACCGTCATATTAACAAACCCGCTCACCGCTGTCATGACATCTGCAGTGCGCTAACTACAAGGATCGTTGAAACATTCCAACGCGAATTCAAGTATTAGACCTAGTCGATACCTTGGCGGGGCACTACGGGCAGGCTAGGATAGCTGCTTGATCATATGACAGCTGTATCCACTGTCTTGGATCCCAGCGTGCGTCGGGAGACGTCAGACGCCAAAGTCGTCCCACGTTCAAGTTAGATTGAAGATCGCGGCGTACGGCGGTTGTATCCGTACCATGATATCGAGGCCATTTAATGTCGAGACCTCGTTTCAGAAATCCGAGGAAATGGAATGGGTAGGACCACCCACTGGTGAGTGCTTGTTCTTGCAGCCAACTGCGGATGTCCCGCAGGCTAGCACTGTACATGGCTTCCGTTTGGCTTCCTGTACGAAAGCCACATGCAGCGGGTTGTACAACTTCAGCGGTGAAGCACATCTTTTCTCCATCGGCTTTTGGAACACCGAAGTAAAAACAAATGTTGCTGCATTACCACGTACACACACAGATCCGTCATGCAGAACTGTAATCAGACGTCCAATAATAGGATATGTGATCGTCCACAGCGAGCTCACTGTTCATGCTCAGGTTTCGCCAGCAATGGCCGGTTAACTTGCAAGATGGCCATTTCATGACTTTGAAATCAGGAAGATAATAGGCACTAGTGGCTTCGGCATACCCCCGAGTTTCGCTAGCAAGTAGCTACGCTACCCACACCCTAAAGACGAACCCCAACCCCTCTGGATCTCCAATCCTGCCGGGCGATGTAGTTCCATCCATGTTGTAGCATTGAGCTAGGCAAACTGCGTTCGAACGGTGAGGCGGTCCACTCTAGAGTGGGGAAGCGTGGCGAGGCTGCATCAACGTTCGAGGTAGTTGCGGCCAATCATCAGACCAGATCCAGTATTCGTTCGACGAAGAGACGGTCAGGTGCTACCAGTTACGCCGACGGCTTGAAAAGACCAGGGCCGTTATCGTATTTATCCATCCATGGGCATCAGATGATACTGAAAACAACCCGAAGATGAGTCGATGTAGAATGTGATCTCTGTTGAGCTTGCTAAATGCACGCCTACCGCCTTAAGTTAGATAGATATTCAGTGCCGCATTAGAATCGGTGGGACCTAAAGAAGACCCGCGTATGCATTTGACCATACATGAGGAGAATGAGACTCGTGGAATTGCTGTCTCCACTCACAATGTTAGGGATGCTGGGGCAAATGTGAGTGAGAAATGCGGTGAAGAGAGTTCCACATATCCATCTAGCTGGAATTTATGTTATGCTGTTGTGTGCCATGCACCCTTGATGCCAGCTACATCTGTCTCGCGAACAGCGTTCAAGGGACCCTCGTACGATGCGTTCGAAGATGGAGTCCACTCAACACAGCCTAGCCTAGCCTGGCAGTTTGGATTGCCCAGTGATGCATTGTACAAAGGGTCTTGTACTGAATTAGAGCCGTCCAAAGGAGTTTATGATGCGGTATCCTCGGCAGCAAAAGCCCTTAGGCTTCGATGCCTGCTTGGCGACCTTCTATAATCGGCTTCAACAAGCGTGGCTAGAAGCAAAGAGCTGCAGCATTTGAGTGAGCACTCCAGTAGCCTTCCTAGAAAACACTGTCATGCTCCATCGAAACATGCCTCGATTGAATAAAACCAAAGAGAGGCGAAAACACCAACACCTGCACGCTACTGCAGCATTCAACAGCAACAGCCTAGAAGTCCATGCTTCTTGGCCTGCGTGATAAGCCCGTCGCTGAAGCAGTGTAATAGAGTACCGCAAGGGTTAGTTGTCCGCAGACGGCAAGCAGATCAAGGTCTTAGCTGAGGAGACAATTTGAAATTGAAGTAGTGGCGGACTAACGGAGAGATGTGGTCGGTTGAATGCAGAAGCGAGAAAGACGGTGAGGAGGTAACGCTGGTGAATCAGATGCTGTTGGAGACGTCCGGTTCGGACGTCGAGTGAGGAAGGCGCACAGACGCAAGGCGAAATCGCTCTTGCCATGTGAGCATCGATAATTGAGCAGGCGTACCTCGTACACCCTGAGCCCGGCGAAAGTTCAACTCACATCGATTCTTATCTGGAGTAAGTCACGAGTGCTAGTAGCAAGCCACCGTGCGGAGACTTGGCACAGAATTCTCGTGTCCAGCGCATCGCGATGTGGTTGCATAGCTGGACGCGCAACTTTTGAAAGAACACTTTTAAGACTGAAACCTTTCTTAAGACCGGGCTACAAGTAGCAAAAGCTTGTTTGGTCACGTTGGACTTGCATTATCCAATATCTTGTATCGGGACTACCTACACCGACATGAGCTCCTAAACGTAGTTGTGATGTTCCCGAACGAATGCGCCATTACGCCTGGGAAGTTGATTTGCATGAGGTAATGAAAGTACTGAAAACGACCGACCTTTAAGAAAGCCACTACCTTCCAGGGGCGAGACCTGGCACTGCGCTGAAGCGTTCGTCACGCTCAGTCTTGAAGAGGATCTGACACCAGAATTCCTTGGCATCCTCGTCGAACCAGAACCAGAACTTGCCCTCCCTTCTATCGATGTCGCGCGACTGTAACTTGACCGCGACTGTTTCATAGGGCTCTCCAGCAACAATCAAGTACTGGTAGTTTGGATCCGGCTCTTCCACCTTCTGTTCGTAGGCGCTCATGACGCGGACCTTGGGTGTGATGCCGGGTGTGAGGTCCGGGAACTGGAACTGGAAAAGCAACCCATTCTGGCGTGTGTTCGGATCGCGTACTTTTGTGATACGGTAACCAGGGCGGCCAATCTTGATAATGTTCTTCTTGGGCAGCACACCAGCCAGAAGTCCTTGCTGGCCCACGTCGTCCCTCTTGCCTTCTCTCTGTTCTTTCGCCGCACGACGTGCCAGGTTTGTCTGGTGCTTCCTTCCTTGCGTATGCGCGAGATATGAGCCATCGTTCTGGTGGACTGTCAAACAGAGACGACATTCGAAGCTTCCGACGTGGTTCTTGAAGAAGTACGGGTCCTTGTCGAGGTCGATGGTCTCAAGCGCGAGCTTTCGGAGACGCTCTCGTCGGTCGGCATTGGTTGCCGACTGTGATGCGACGCCGCCGCCTCCGAATTTGGAGCCTGCGCGATTCTGTAGAAGTTAGTAGCTGTTCTTAAATGTCGCGACGAGAAACGTACCTGATAATCCATCTTGGAGAACCTGTACGATCTACTATGTCAATCTTTCTCGCGATCAGACTGAGGTGAATATGACTTTTACGTAGGCTATGGTGAAGTGTGGAGCCGCGTAGACGTAGGCGTGTTGGAGTGATGTCGCGCGACAGAACTTCTGGAGGCGTGCGACGCTAGTGCTACGATACCCAATCCCTGTCACCTCCATAATCACGTGCGCAGCTGCCTTAACACATTCACCATACAACGCTCACCCTCGCATTAGGAAGCCAGTTCCACGCTCTTCTGGGGGATTCCGACACTAGTACTGGTGAAGTAAACTCGAGAAATCTGCTCACCGGCTATACTAGCCAAAGGTTAAGGAAAATTACTACGACTTAGCCAATCATGGCAACCAATATCTACATAGGAAAGCGCCTCTGCTTCGACGCCCGCCTCTGTACCGTCCGCTACTACGGCACTGTCGAAGGAACTAAAGGCGAATGGCTCGGCGTAGAATGGGACGAACCAACTCGAGGAAAACACTCCGGCGAACATAATGGCACACGATACTTCACATGCTTGAACCCGTCACCAACATCCGCATCCTTCATCCGTCCTACCCGCAAACCAGATCCACCACGCACCTTTGTTCAAGCATTAAAGTCAAAATATGCGTCTGAAGCTGTTACAGAGGATTTCCAAGATCCAGATGTACATGTGGTTTTCAATCATCAACCTCCACAGCTGAAACCTGTGCACTTTAATGGTAAACCAGCTGAGGAGATTGGGTTCGACAAAATCCGGAGGCAGTTGGCTCAGCTCTCGGAGTTGAAGATTATCATCCTGGATGGGTTATGCATGTATCGACCCGAAGCACGTCAAGATGAATGGTTAAGAGGAGGAGAGAAGAATGATGTGAGGGAGGCATGTCCGAAAGCTATTGAGCTTGATCTGAGTAGAAATCTTTTTGAAGAATGGAGAGAAGTAGCTGCAATCTGTGAGCAACTACCTGGATTGAGAAGCTTGAGGGTCGAGTAAGTCATCCACACACAGTCCCTTCCTATATATACTAATAACCGCGCAGTGGTATACGACTCCGCGACACTTCCCTATCTAGAGAAGAGCGAGAACGCTGTCTCCAGGCCTTCAAAGGCATCACCTCCCTAAAACTAGAAGACAATCTCCTTCCCTGGGCAGATCTCGCCCTCCTGACCCACCTCTTCCCAGCTGTCACCACATTTTCCGCCTCCAGCAACCTCTATACAGGCCTCACTCAACATGCCCTCAACCCCACTATCACCGATCTGACACTTGAAGACAACCACATCACCTGTCTATCATCGTTAGCATGTCTGGTAACGCTGCCCAATCTGCGTCGCCTAATCCTTAAATCGAACAAAATCTCCGAGATAACTAGCTCAGACGCGCCGATTTCCATCTTCTCAAGCACGGTACGAGAAGTCGATCTTTCGTTCAATGAAATTTCAACATGGGCTTTCATCGAGCAACTCGTGTACGTCTTTCCTGGTCTCCAAAGCCTACGCGTGTCGCAAAACCCATTATATCAGTCTTTACAAGCACCAGATGGAAGGAGCTTGACGGCAGATGATGGGTATATGCTTACGCTAGCGCGACTGGGACAGCTCAAGACGCTAAACCACAGTCCCATCCACGAGAAAGAGCGGCTGAATGCAGAGTCGTATTATCTGTCCATGATCGCCAAGGAGATGCAGTTTGCACCTGAGAGCCAGCGAGAGCAGATACTGAAAAGCCATCCGCGGTACAAATGGTTGTGTGAAGAGTATGGCGAGCCAGATGTGCAGCGCTCTGCTAATGCCGTAAACCCAAACTCGCTTGCTGCCCGGTTGCTCCGCATCAAGTTCTACCTCGCGGCAGCTACGGATACAACTTTCGAGACGGAAATACCCATGAGTAGTACTGCGTACACGGTGCTTGGTATTGTTGGGAAACACTTCAAAATCAAGCCCATGGCGTGCAAATTGACATGGGAGACCGGCGATTGGATGTCGGTACGAAAATCACCGACAGATATTGTAGATGACGACTGGGACTCGGAGGACAGCGAGGCGGAGATGGGTATGGAGCGTGTCATGAGGGAGGTGGAGATTGTGCCCGGCACGAGGTCGATTGGAACATGGGTTGACGGCTCGGAGGCTACCGTGAGGGTGGAAATTAAGTCGTGACGGCTCAATATCCTCAAACACTCTATCAGATTCTCAAAGAGTGCGAGTTCGATGAAGCTTCGTTCAGCGGAACCACCAGTTGACCTAGACAACGATTAAGCGACATATTCAGAAAAGATCTTATACTGCACTTACCGAAGCATTTGCGCCCCTTCCAATCCCCCTAACAGCATGCCACCATCCATGAGGAATGTAGAGCGCATCTCCACTCCTCAGAGTTGTTTCTACGCCGGTTGCGTCAGCCATTTTTACCTCGGGGTCGTCATTCCACACTGCATCTTCTAAGCCCTCCATTTCTCCTCCTTGCATCATCTCCTCTCCCCTCATATTCGCGTCTCCACCAGCCCCATGTACTTTCTGTCTTACAATCTCATATACACCCCTGCCTACCTCAGGCTTCATAAGTCTAATCGTCTTCTTGCCTGCCAGTTGTACAAAGATATTTGGATTCGGGTCGCGGTGTAGCGGCGTGCGCGTAGGCGGTCTACCCATCCAAAGACTTGATGCATAGATATCGCCACGGGCCTTGAGGTGCGGTAGGAAGAGCGAGGGCGTGGGGAGGTCTTCTTGCAGCGGCGCTGGGAGATCAGCTAGCGAGTGTTGCGCGAGGTACAAACTGGTGTCTTGCGTCTCAGCAGCACTCATATGCTGTAAAAGGAGAGATAGCGGTGCTTCGAAGCGCTCGAAAGTTTGGTTTCGAGCGCTGCCGTTGGTGGAAACACGGGTCAATTCCAACGGCACAATTGCATTGCCATACTGCTCCAGATATGCTGTATTCAGCTCCTGAGGATATCTGAACGTTTTGTAGAGTGCATCAAGTTTGCGTTGTTGGTGTTGTTTGCGTTGATCGTGTTGTTTTAGGTGTTGTTCACCTGTGAGCACCTCTGGCCGCTCACTGAGTTTCTGGAACCATTTTTCAATTGCGGGTATATCCAGGAAAGCTTTTTTGAAGACAGCGGGATAGTCGGGTTTGAAATTGATTATGCTGAGCTGCTTCTTCTTGTCCAAGTATTGTTCGTTTTGTAAGACTCGAAAACGCGTATTGCGTACCGGCATTAAATCATGCCTGCGAATCCAGTGGCGAGGAAGAAGAGGGCCCGGCTTCGGCATAGAGGACTGAAATATGGTGAGGTATGATAGATTACGTGGATGCGACTTGCCCAGAAGCTTGACACGCTCTCACGTTACCGTACCCCACACGAGCAGCTCGCCGCCCCGCCAAAACCTTCCCATCCTAAAGTTTACATCGTCACAAACACCCGGAAGCTCGACACCCATCAGCTCACGCGTCACCAACATGGCACAAGCTCAAGGCGCACAGCCTGGTCAAAGTAAATAGCAGCCAAACGCCAATCCATCGCGCATCGTGCTAATTCCACCTCGCAGTCGAAATTACATCCCTCCCTGTCCCCCGCCTCCAAGAACTAAAAACCCAACTCGATGCCGAGCTCACCCACCTCTCAAATTCGTTCCAATCGCTACGCACCGCGCAATCCAAGTTCCGCGACTGCCTGACCTCCATTTCAACGGGTCTCACACCAGCGACCGTTTCGAAACCGCTTCTCGTCCCCTTGACATCCTCGTTATACGTACCGGGGAAACTCACGGATCATGAACATGTGCTGGTGGATGTAGGCACAGGCTTCTTTGTAGAGAAAGATATTGCTAGCGCAAAGGACTTCTATGAGCGCAAGGTCAAGGATCTGGGTGACAGCTTGAAGGACTTGGAGGGTGTTGTACAGGGCAAAGCGCAGAATGTTAGAGTCGTTGAGGAGGTTATTAGGCTCAAGGTCATGAACGCACAGGAAGGCAAGGGTGAGGAGCAAGGCAGCTGAAGTATCAACAAAGAACATTGAAGGATTAGCTTGTGGAAGGACTGCCATTGCTGCTGGTTAAGCTGTGTTGACACGAGCAGGAGCAAAGCTGGAGGATCAGACACATCTTCGAAAGTGGAGAACGAAATAGCAAGGGCCAGGAATAAAGTCAGATATCATGCTGTTGACATGGTTCTATATAAGACTTGACTCCTAGACCCACCGCCCTTTCAGATCACCTCGAATTTCTTTGGGCTGTTGAATATTAAGAGGACATGCAGACATACTGTATGCGTATTCCGTGTGCAGATCCATCGCTTCCTTGTTGTTTGAATAGAGACACCCCCCGTGTCGCCTCTCGCTCCAAAATATGGTAAACGAGCGGCGACACTTACGTCAACCCCAGTCGCACGACACAACTACTCACGACAGCAATATGACCTCCAACCTAAATCTAGCGCGTACCGCGAAAGACCACTCACGTCATTGCAGGCGCCTAGCTCGAGCTCCTTCCCACCATCGCCGCGGAAGTCTCGATGACTGAGCTGACGATAGCTGAGAGCTGAAGTAGCTTGTCCATAAGGATGCGGATACCGTCGCGTGGTGGTGGTGCTTCGACACCAGGGCCCAGATTGAGGTCTCTCATTCCGAAGTCTTCATCTTTCGGTAACGTTTCCGTCATCCAAGAACCTGATCAATACATCGTTAGTTATGAGACAGAAACCTGACGCGAAAAGTCACCCTGAAGGTAATCAAATGAATTCTGTACTTACGCTCGGCGGTACTAGAACAATCTGAATGTCCGTCGTCTGGTAAGAAGGCAGCGATGGTATTACTCCAGTCAGCCTCGCGACCAATAGGCAGTCGCTCGAGCTCTGCGAGATGAGTTGCCCATTCTAGATGACGAATAGAGAGACCCCAGACGGGTAGCTTCTGTCTTGGGTACCACATGCCGATGACCTCAACTTTGTAGCATGTTTGCTTAATGCCGAAAGAGTAGATAGTATCTAAACGACCAGTGCGCAGATACTTCTTGACAGTCGGTGTCTGCTCCCACTCAGCGAAGCTTTCACCGGAACGATGGTCATGGTTGGGTCTCATCTTAACTCGCTCGGCGAAACCAGTTATCACAGGCGAAATGCTTTTTGATGCCACGGGGGTCAATGATTCGAGGGCAAATTGCCATCCTCGGCTCTCTCCTAACTCAAGCAGGTTGATGTCCATATTCTTCGTTGGACCTAGTTTACCTTGTTCTGTCTTGTAGAATCGTGTAGTGGTCTTCTCGTACAACCCTTCTTCGTCGTCCGTCCAATCAACTCGAACCACGATAAGGCTGGACTGTACCACCGGTACTGGTGTCGAACTCACGGTAGCAGCAGGCTTTCGGTAGGATGGATTGGGTCGACCGGGATGGCGGGTAGCTGTAGCCTGAGGCGGATGAGCAGTAGCAATGCTGGGATCTGCGAACACCCATGTTCCTCGGAACATAGGGCGGGTTCCTTGAAGAGATTTGGGCATATAGCCGAAATAGTCTGAAGACTTTGTAGGTTCGAGGAAGTCGTCAGCCGTGAAGAAAGACTTCAGTATCTGGCAGCCCAATACATCGTCGACAAGCCTGTTCTGTTAGCTACCGTCATGATACTCTTATAAAGGTCTTGACTTGCCACTTCTTTACTTCAAGGCCCACCGATCCATTGATCGACTTTAAGAAGATGTCCTTGCTGTACTTGTTGCCAATCTCATTCTCTCTGATATGCCTCGAATTCAGTGCTAGAGACCCTAGACGGATGGTCATATCGTAAGCGCCTTTCTTGTGACGCACGGCGTCAAGAGCCAATTGAACGGAACGCTGGATCTTCGAGAGCTGTTTGGAGTGCATGAAAGCACCGCGAAAACGTCCAGGAGAGTCCATCATATAATTGGGAAGGAGGTGTGGTACGACTCGGTCTTGTCTAGAGTTAAGTACACGAAGTTAGTACATATCTGATACAATCGATACAGGCAATCTACGCACAGGTTTGGCCACCAAGTGTCAGCCTCTTTCAGCTCGACTTCCATCCCCTCTTGATCATCAAGGATCATGTTGAGCGTATGATGTTGACCCATCTCTTCAGCTTTGACTTTGTCGATCATTGTCTTGAGATGCGCCTCGGCTGCTTCTATGTTCGCTATGTCTACGGCTTCGAGGACGAGAGTGAAAAGTCAGCGTAAGGCTTATATGAATACTATGCATCCGAAACGCACCTTGTATCTCTATCTGCCCGATATCGCCCTGAGCAGAGAGAATCGATATGAAAACCTCGTCGTAAGTCCGGATAGCATCCAGCTTTTCCAACTTGTTGCCGAAGACATCGCGAGGAGTTATGTTCAGATTGATCAGATCCTCTGGCCAACGTATGATTAAACGCTGTAGCGGTGTTTCACCTTCTGACACTTTGGGCGCTGTTCCTCTGAACGCCTCTTTGCGTTGGCGCTCCATTTCTTCAATTTGCTCGTAGTACCACTTGTTCGGATCGAAAGCCGGCATCCTCGCCCACGCTGAGGAATCTTTCGATTTGACGTGTGCGTTGGAAATCCACTGATTGATATATCGGACCGCCTTTTCGAGTCCTACGCCGCCTCCAGCGATGCCGAACTGGTAAATCCTCCCATCATCCCATTGCGGAATGACTGTACAACCAGTTCTGACCTTGACTTCGTTGACGATGTTGTCGCACTCTCTGGCATGAGTGGGACGACGGAACTCTTGAGGCACTAATATGGTTTTGTTTGGCTTTGGCCTAGGAGCCGGGCCACTTTCGCCTGGGTTCATGGTTGTAGCCTCTTGGTTGTGCGGCGTATCGGAAGCAGTGTCAAAGTAATGGCGTCGGGAAGAGGAGTATTTGGGCAGTGCCGTGGTGCTCATCTGCAAGGTTAGGTCGAGGTGAACCCGGGTTGGAAGGAGCAGACACGCAGTGACGCTTGGACACGTCCACTCCTGCCGTAAGTGTAGCCAATTGGTAAAAGCACGCTTAGGAGCACACTGTATTCCAGTGATAGGAAGGAGTTGTGTGCAACAGCGCATAAAGCTTGTTGTATTCTTCAAGGAGCAAAGAAGAGGTATCAATCAGATTTGTGGGGGCTCAACGTGCAGAGAACGGAAAGATGCGATACAAAGGCTCATGGTGTCAAGAATTTGGGTGACCTCTTGACTCTAGTGAGTGAGAGCGCCTTTTATTTGAGAACACTGTCGCCTGAGGCGGCATTCAACGAAAGCAAACTGTCTGCTTTACCTAGGTACCTATTAAAGGCGCCGACCACGTGGACGCCACCAGCAACACCGGATATATTCCAGTCTCATACATGTCACTCGAGAGTGCGAATATGTGACAGTTCATCACAACTATGAGCAGACAGACCTTCGATGCAGCTGAGGTTCGTCGAGCGAAGCTGTTAGTTTGCCCACACATGTGACCGGATCTGCCAAGTATCACACGAGGAGATCATGAATATCGTTTACATAGAGGTTCCATATGTAGATGAGAGGTTGTAGATAGGAGGCACAAGACGCCAAATCAGGATGGCAAAGAGTCGCTGTGCATTGTCACGGAGACACAGAGGTTGGGGAAAGGCTTGGCGGGGCTCGGTGTTAGGCGGAGCGACCTCCGATCCATTTTCTGAGCATCACCAAAGTTACCACTAGAAGTCGAATCACGCGGCATCGTCGCGCATTGCACTTCTCGAAGCCGCCGTACTCATTGCTCGTGCGCCAGTTGATTCCCTAGAAGGCACCTCATCATATTTGCTGGACTTTATCGCAACCCATCGCCATGAACGCCGTACCCATCACAAAAAAACTGATAGCCTTTGGGAGCAAGAAGATATACCTGTAGGCCACTACGCCACATCGTTTGCGCTCAGGACTAACACAATTCAGTCCCAAATTCACAGTCGCACTCCTTCGTACACCAAACCTCTCTCCGTATCATGCCCGCTTCCTCGTCCCGCTCGACTTCTCAAAGTACGACCTTCGCGATTACCTCTACCACGCCTACAACGTCAAATGCTTCAACATCAGATCATACGTAAAGCAAATGCCTGTACGCGATACGCGCGAACAGCCACGGCATTGGTTCCGTGAGGACTCGAAGAAGTACATGACGGTAGAGTTGGAGCAGCCATTCGTCTGGCCTGAGGTTCCCGACCTAGAGCCATGGGGCCAACGAGAGAGGAGAGAAGAGATCAAGCAGGCGGCCAGTCAGAATGGAGCTGGAGACATGGCCGAAGCAAGAGAGGCAGCCAGGACGCTACGAGAGCAAGTCAAGAAGTTGCTCGACAAGAAAGTCTCGCGGCCGGATCCCGAGATACAGAAGAAGAAGGCAATGTCTGTAGAGCTCACAGCAGAAGAGTTGGAAGCAGAAAAGCTCAGAGAGCAGGAAGAGGCAAATCTACAGCGTATGTCAAGACTAAAGTTGTGGGCGAAGGAACGGACAGGGAAGGCCGTGGAAAGCGATAAGCCTAGGCGGTATGCGATCAAGGTTTGAGGTTGATCTTGCATCGTGTATATATGCTTGTACTATATTCATCAGGATGGAGCAAGAATCATCAATACTTTGCAATACGTGTGATGACATGTGTGGTACAACATGATGGAGCAAAGTACTCTGAAAAACTTCCGATTCGACCCAGTTGGGGAGTGTCTTCATGCCTACAGCTCGTTCTTGGAAGATGTCGTGAGGCTATATGGTATCATGTCTTTGCTTTGTCCAGTCTTCGTTGCCTTGTTCCCAGAGATATCATGGAAGGGGACTACAGTGGTGTGATTCAGATCTGGTGACCAACTTGACATGGAAAATCCGAAACATGTACGATCTAGTCTAGTACGTGGTCCATATTTCAGAAATTGCAAAAAGTTAGAGAGGCTGTTGTTGCTGCTGAGATAAAGCAATGCAGCTACCATGCCCCAAACACTCGTACTGGCATGCGCCACAATTTCTAGCGACCAAACACAGGTTCACGTGTTGAAGGCATATCGTCATCGACTCCTCAATAAAACATGAAGCAAACAAACAAGGAAGGAAAAACATGTAGTTGGGCATCTTTTTGAAGATTGTCAGGTACTACCCGGTCCTTCCAGGGTTTGGGCCAACGTCAAAGTGTCAGGCCACAGACTGGCAGGTGTATCCTCGCATGTTCGCTGGAGTTCCATGTACCTACCACGGGTATCGGCCAATAGCTGATGACTCACGTGGCGTTCTGTACATAGCACCCCTACACACAATGGCACCGGGCTTCGTCATCAAGCCCTGAATGCTGCCGAGTGGACAGGGTGCAGGACAGAAACTTGGAATCATGGCTTAGAAGCAGCAAGACATGTGGAGTGGGAGATGCAGCCATGAGGCGAATGAGGAGACGATGCGACAGCTGTCAGAAAGCCGTCGTCGCAACGTAAGATGGACGAAAGTGAGGCACCGGTCAAGATTCGGAGGCAGCCGGAGAGGGGCTATGGCGAGCAACATGTTCGCAGCGAAAAGCACCCAAGTCGTCCGTCGGTGAGGGATGCCGGTCAGAAAAGCTGCGCAAATCAGTTGACCTAAACCCCGTTTGAGACTGTCTTCTCGTTGGGCGTAGCAGCTGGTAGAAGAAAGTTTGGCCTTGGCTGTGGGCAACCCAACAAGTGACATCATAGGCACGCTGTTGCCGCTTTGCGCTCTCAAGACTGCCGCCCACCCCAGCCTCAAGCAAACGGTAACATCTACGCCACCCCACCTGCACCGAGATAGATCCTTGGGACCCAAGCCAAACGGACAGTCATCAGCCCTGGACCTTCCGAGTCGATCATCCTGTTAAATACCACTGCCTGCCGGTGCCCTGCGACGCTCGACACCCCATTCCCCTACCCACCTTGTCCCGTTACTTCGCAGGCACCTTGTTCTTCGTTGCGACAGCCCTCCAACTATCAAACTTGCGCTTACTAGCCAAGTAAAGTCTATCTGACCAAAGAGACTATTTGGTATGTCCAAGGCGCCGCCCTGCTCGTCGCCTTCGTGCGCCCGCTAACCAAGCCTTGTGCAGAACACCGGACCCGGATACGACGCTTCCTGCTGCTGGACCCTGGAGAGCCAACATCGCCCACGGCGGGTATAGAGCACCATCACCATGTCTGAGTACAGCTACGCACCACGGCACCGTACGCGGGAGCCTGAGTACGTCACCGAGACGACGTACATTGAGCGCGGCGGTCGCGGAGGCGGGGCACGAGATCTCGTCTACCGCCCCGCAGCGCGCGAGGACAGCATCGAGGAAATCCCCCGCGACTTCCCTCCCGGTGCCGAGTATAGGCAAACCAAGTACCGCGAAGAGTATGCGCCGCCCCGTCGCACCCGCTCAGTGAACCGTGGCTACGATGATGACTACTATGACCGCCCCCGTCGACGTGACCGCGATTACGATGACCGTTCCGAGTACTCTGAGCGCCCCAACATGCAGCGCCGCAAGTCCATCGTCGACAAGGTCAAGGACTTTGGCGAGTCTGCAGGCCTAGGCGGCATCATCGGCGCAGTCACTGGAGGCGGCCGCGACCGATCACGCTCCCGTCCTCGTCGAGACGATCGTGGCTACGACAGCGACCGATACGGATACTACGACGACCGCGACCGCCGAAGCAGCCGCTACGGCTCGCGTTCTCGCAGCCGCAGCCGAGGAGGACGCAAGTCTGAGAAGTGGGAGCAAGCCGCCAAAGCCGCTATCGTCGCCGGTGCTGTCGAAGCCTTCCGCAGCCGCAAGGAAGCCGGTCCATGGACTGGTGCCAAGGGCCAACGTGTCGCAACTGCTGCTCTCGGTGCTGCTGGTATCGACGGTCTCATCGACAGAGACCCTGGCAAGCACGAGAAGAGACACGTCGCCGAGTCCGCTCTGGGTGGTCTTGTCGCTTCTCGTCTAGCCAACGGCTCTCGCTCCCGCTCCCGTGCTCCTCGTGGTCGTGACGACTCCAGGTCTCGCTCCCGCTCCCGCTCTCGTGCCAGGTCCAGGTCCAGGTCCATCTTCGGACGTTCGCGCTCTCGCGGCCGCTCGCGCTCCCATTCCAGCGAGGGAGGAAACAACGGTCTCGCCAAGGTAGCTGGTACCGGTGCTGTGCTCGCAGCAGGCAAGGCTCTATACGACCGTGTGCGATCCAAGTCTCGTTCCCGAAAGGAGCGATCCCGCTCTTCCAGCGCCGACAGCTATGTGCCCTCACGTAGGGGCAACCGCCGCTCGTACAGCCGAGGCCGCGGTATGGACGACCAGTATTCCGAAGCCCCTTCCAGGACTAACCCAGATCGCAGACTAGCCGCCGCCGGTGGGGCAGGCGCCGGTGCTTTGACAGCACAGGGTGGAGGAGCAGATCGGGGTCGATGGGACGCTAGCAGCGATTCCGAATCGTCCACCGACATGGAGGAGAAGCGCAAGAAGCTACGAGGTAAGGAACTCCTTACTGCGGGTCTAGCCACTGTGGCCACCATCCACGCGGCGCATGGAGTCTATTCTTCCATGGTTGCCTCGGAGAACCGTCGCAAGCTCGTCGGCGAGGGCGAAATGTCACCCGAAGAAGCGCGCAAACGCAAGTCCAAGAACATGCTCCAAGATGCTGCTGCCGTGGGTATCGCTGCCCTCGGTATCAAGTCAGCCTACTCCGAGTGGAAAGAGATGAACGAGCAACGCCACAGCGTCAAGGAACTTGAGACGCGCCGCCGCAAGAGGAGAAAGCAGCGTGAACGACGCGAGAAAGAAGCCCGTCTAAATGCTCTGGGAGCCAATATGAATGGAGCAGCCGCTAATCCGTACGCATATCCTGTAGCTGCCAACCAGCCCTATCCTACGTCCTACGCGGATGCGAATCCTTACGGTAGCTCTGTGCCACCGCCACCCATGGGTGCGAGGTATTAGATGCTTACCCGACCATCACCCCTGTTTCCTTACACCTTTTCGAAACGGTCTTCTGGTTAATTGTACTGTCGCGGTTGTCTAGAAAGTATTGTTAAATACCTTTTTCTTTCGCGAGGCTTGGAGGAAGCGAATGTCATTGTTCTTCTTTTTAGCAACTCCATTCTTTTACACACTCTGGTCTTTTGACGAACGATGATCATGGTAGCGAATGGATGGATAGATGGCATCTTCTTGGTCTTGGGGGAGAAAAGAAGAGCGCATTGGGTTAATGCGACGTCGGGTCTTCTGGCTCGGAAATGAATGATTCACGACATGACTTATGAATTCAGGATAGATATGAAATGCAAAATGGTCTTTTTACATCAGATTTCTCACCTTTTTATTCCGAGGCCTTTCATGTATTGTTGCCGAAAATTGTGGTTAAATAGACATATGCTTCAGCATAACATCCAACGTCGATCCCATTCAAAGCCATGGTGAGTAACTGTAATAGTAGTTGGTTCGTCGTTTACTTTTCATGATACTGAACCTTGCGGATCTGCAGGACGATAGGGTCGAGCATAAACCTTTTTGGGATAAACTTCAGAATTAGACATGGGCACAGTGTCCAATTCTACGAATACCATGACCAGGTAACTATATGATATGTGATGCAAAAACTAACAAAGCACAGGCAACCCCAGGCGTCCATGCCTCAAGATAGACTAAGTTTTTATGAGTACATCGCCATGCTTCAAACGCCAGGGTATGTTAGGAAAGGTAAAATAGATAATCAAAAAATGTAAAAAAGCAAACATGAGATTTGAGATGGGGCTCCAAAAACCCCTCGTTGCCGCAGTCATGTGTTTCAGAGACCTTCGTCGCTGCAGTTATCACTGTCGTTATCCTCCATGTCGGGTTCATCGACCGCCCACAAGATGAAAGGTCCGTTGTACTCTAGCTATGGATAGTCAGTATGCGTCAGATGATGGAATCCACCATGGGGCCACTTACGTTACGATGACCCTGCTCCGAAGCAAACCACCATCGACCCAGAATGATCCGGCCACCTGGCAAAACAACGCCCTCATATGCCCAAAGATTGTCCTCATTTAGGTTGTTGTAGTCCTGGGTGAAGTGCTTCATGAAGGTGATGCGCTGCCAGCCAGGGATACCACCTTGAGGAGGCAGAATGTTGAGCCATCCAAGAGCCATGTATTCGTCGTCAAGGTCCTCGCCCTTGCCCTCAAACTGAATGCTGGATGCGGTAGATCTAGCTAGACTCCGGCCTTGAGTTGTGATGCCTTGCTTGCCAGTGTCGTTCGTAAGCGAGCGGAGACGGTCTTCAAAAACGGAGGGCCATGGTAGCCGGCGACCATCGGGCAGGACACTATCTTCTGCGAAAACGAGCTCGAGAGACTGCATGTGATCAGTGAATGTAGGCACGGCTCCGAAGACTTCGAGAATAGTGTACCTGGATTTTGCCTTCGTCAACGTTCTTGTCGATATACACTTGCTTTCCTGGACCTTGTCGTCGCAGCTTCTGGACCTCAGAGTTATCAAGAAATGAGTATGTGCCCTTCCAGTACTTGCTCAGCGGCTGAACACCAATTTTAAGCTGTTCTCGCCACGCTGAGGGCTTCTGGGTAGCGTCTAGCCCTTCGATCCTGTCGAAGAGTGTCTGGGCGTTCTCGTTCATCATGTGATGACGGAAGAAGCTCATGGCGTGTAGCATCCAACCGAGGTTCAACTTTGTGTGATCGTAATTGAAGAGTGGAGCAGCAGATGCAGACAGGTAAACTGTGTGCTGCGATTCCTCAAAAGCAAAGATGTTGTGCTCCAAGCCTTCGATGTTAAAGACAAATTGAGAGCACATAAGCTTCACCGCGGCAAGCCCATCATCAATGTGCTTCAATGCGCCGGGTGGGGTGTCAGGGGCGCGTCGGTCGGTATTAAGAAGGCGAGATCTGAGAATGAAGTCCAGGATGTGAGCGTGATTCTTGCAGCGGAGACGGCCATGCTCGTCAACTGTGGTAGCTCCTTGGAATGACTCTGCTTTGTGTTAGCATACGAGATTCGTGTTTAGTTCTTGAGGGTATGGTTTGACCTACCATTGATCATATCCTTGAGCATATTGACGACCTGTCTCTCTCCTTGGCGAATGCCATGGAAGAAGGGGTATTTGATCCCTCGTCTAAGCTGCTTGGAGCGACGCTGGTATACGCGACATAATTGCAGATTGTTAAGACCGTCCTTGAAGTCATACTTCTCGCGATACTTAGCGCGCCAGAAGGAAAGTCTGTCTGCATCAATGGCATCGTTTGTAGAATGGCAGATCAGGCGATAATTCGCAATATCCTTGTCGTTGTCGAGTTCATGAACGATGGCCTTGTTGAGCTACCGCAGATTGTCAGCGTCTGTACATTCATATGCATGTCGGAGATACACACTTCTATAGGTAGAGAGTCGAATGCCGTAGCAGTAGTTGGGCCCAAAGGGCGAGACATGTTGATGTGAATGACTGGTATGAGGTCAAGAGATTGAGATATTCAAGGTTCCAATGCAATAGAGGAAGCGGGTTGGTGGAAGAAGAAGGACTGGCAATATGTGAGGACGATATACGGTGGAGAGGTCACCCGCACTAGCCGCGAGTAAAGGTACGTTCCTATTGTAGAATAAGAAGTGAGGGTGGCAGGGATCCAGCTAACCGTAGATAGACCTCGCAAAATGACGTGAAGGTGGAACTCTGCCTACCATGCCCAACTGAGCAGCACCACACACCAAATCCAGCGGCTGTGTCGGGTTATGTGCTTACTTAAAGCTCCAAGAATGTCGTCAACAATCAGCAGTTCGGATCAGGCGGGACAACTGAGGTCTTCCCCAGCGATGTGATGAGAGCGGCGGTGACGAAGAATTGCAAACGATGGTGCTGTGCTAGGATGCGTATGCACGCGGAGGGTAAGGTTCCAACGAGGTGTTGCGTTGAGGTTAGCTACGAACGGTGCAGGACGGTGCCGATACAGGAAGCATGGCCGATGATTGCATAATGAGAATGCGAGGTCGAAGACGCTGAGAGCGGTTGCGGTCGCCATTGCTCGTCTTCCATGTGCCTTCCTAGGAAGGTACAGCCAACGATACACAACCCAATTTGAAGGTTGGTAGGATGTCCGAAAGTCGGGTATACGTTTCTGCTTGATATCAGGATTCAATAGCGAGTGGTACAAGGGGCACGTCGCACGACTACAGCCTTGCATTGTGTATACTGTGACTACACAAACATGATTGTAGTGCCCTTCCTCCTCCTCATCATCTTCAGACCAGCGCGGCAACTACAGCTGCACCAACAGTCCAATAGCTTCCACTCCCAACGCCCCATCTCACCGCAGCACCAGTAGTCTCGCTCGGCTGAGGCGGACTTCCAGATCCTGTTGGGCTCGCGCTCGCACCGTCTCCAGCATCCTCCGCCTCGCTCACATCCGCAACACCACTGCCATCTTCTCTCGTAATGACGAAGATCTCGCCAGTAGAATCCGAACTCATGAATAAGCGACCCTGGGTATCCCACGCAAGACCAACGGGTCGGAAACAAGAGCCAGGGCAGGCCGAGAGGTCGGAGTTGGAGACAATATCAATGGCAGCTGTGGTGCTGTTGGCAGGTGCGACTGGCGAGCCGTTACCGTCAAACTGGACGAAGCTGAGTTTGTAGCCGATAGGCTCTTCACGGTTCCATGAACCATGCATAGTTATCCATGCGGCAGTGCCATTGGGGTTGAACTTGATATCAAGGGGAGCCATGTGAGCGTCGAACGTGATCCTAGGAGCAATACGATCATTCTCGCAGAATGTGTCGTTCACAGTTGCGTTCTGATCTCCAATGGCAAACTGCTGGCCTGTCATTCCGCCAAAGTCTGGGATCTCGGACACATTCCATGCTGTGAAGCATGAAGGATAGCCGTAGTTGCCACCCTGTACATCGCTTCCGGTTCCATTGAGGTAACCGTGAAAGTTGAGCTCCTCACCTGGGTTGTTCTGATTAATAGTTTGTCCACTTCGCGGGATGTTGTCGACACTGTTCTCGACAGAGTAGATACCACCTGAGACAGGTTCCTCAGCTACTCCCACCGAGTTTCTAAGACCCCAACCCAGCAACAGTCCGCTTGACGCATGATCGTATGCTGAGCCGGTCATGTTGCCCACATTGAAGGCTTTAATGGTTGAGACTCCTGTAGTCACATCCAGAGTCTGGAGATCGATGTTACCTACGCTACCACGGGAGACGAGTAGCATGTCAGGAACGGCCTGGGACATAAGTAGGGTACGTGTAGTATGACCCTCATCGTCTCCCATGCCCTCGACAACATCACGGGATTCAGATGTAGTCTGACCCTGTGACGCATCGTAGTCCCAAGCGTAGACATTGCTGTGAGAGGATGCATAAAGCGTATTACCGTCCTGCGCGAATGCGATCCCATGATTCAACTGTTGTAATCAGTCATCAGAACCATTTCTAGTCACGTCTCGCCCCGCACAACGCGAACACTCACAGAATCATCTTCAACCACACTCTGCACATCACCATCAACTCTAATGCAAGCTCCATCACCCGTCAGCCTCAGCCTGCTAACCCCATGCTCTTGTTCTACAACCAGCAGCCCACCTTCCCGATCGAAAATAATGCCGCGTGGATCCCTCAGCCCATTAGCCACGACCTCGACACGGAAACCCGGCGCCACCGAAGGAGCACCATTCTGTGGGGCAATGGGGCTTGCGCATGCTGTTGCAGCGGTAGATTGCGCTTTGGCCGTCAGCACAACGGAGCATACGCTCAGGCCCACCACGGCCATTAAGTGTTTCATCGCCATATTGAAGTGCTCAGAATGACGTGAGAAGTTGGCTCTCTCGGATGAAGAATTGATTTGGGCAACAAAACCGCTTCTGGCTGATCAGTCCGATGCGTGGTTGGTTAACGAGAATGGGGAAGTTGGGGCGCGATATGCAAGGTACGGGTGTAGTCGAGCCAACAAGGACTTTCTCTCGGTGTTTACGTTGTGGAGATTGGAGGAAGTTTGTTGTTTTGATCACAAACAAGGGTATCCGACCGCTTGTGAGAAGGAACAGCGAGAAGAAGGGCTCCAAAGCGCTGCACATATAGTCACCCCCCTCTTGTAGTAGGTAGTACAGGTGTCATTCGCCTCTCTCTTGGTGTCGTTCCCCGGTGTTGCTTGGCGTGTGCCTTCCAAGACAGGTAATCGTCATCGACCTCGGATGAATGAAAGCGCGGGGTTCTGCGATTTGCCCATTGTCAAACCATCGCAGTCTCAAGTACATGCACATGTAATTGGCGAGTACTGTAGTCTCGCCAATTCGTACTCGCCTTGGTCTTGGTGCATCAATCGTATGTTTCCACAAAGCAGGTCGCGCGACCGTTTTGATGTAGACATGCAATTGTGGAGTAGGGTTATGGAGGCTCTGTTTACCGTACGACCGATACGACCGAGCCGGCCGAGGATATTATTCCCACCCTTGGATGCGTGTATGCGCTTGCCGGGGAGTCGGACCAACAATGGCGGCTAGGCATTCCGAGACGAACGAGACAAGCATTATAGCAAAAATCTGGTAAGCTATATCGTCTGGAAAACAGGAATATGCATCGTGGATGACAATGCAGCAGATTAGGGCATCTCTCGGTTAGTGGTAGCTTCGGCTTTATGACTGCAAAGCGGCATGGGCTTTATTTGTTGTGCTGTTCCAAGAATGTTGGTATAGCTTGATATATACAGTTTACCATTACGGTACAAGTGCAAAGAGCAAATCTTACAATCGTCTGCTATGTCCGCTGTATGGTCCGATGATCTTCTGCAGGAAATATTCGTCCCGTGTGCCTTCGCTGCTCGCTGACCCGCTCGGGCAGAAGCGAATGCGAGTATGGTACGCTGCTGTACGGAGATCTGGCTGTCCGGCATGAACAAGATGCGCAGGCGATCATCAGTGCGTAAAACTGCGCCTCGTTCGCGTTGCCTTGATAACTGGCTCATCAGAAGGCGATGCGTGGGAATGCATTAGTGGTGTGTGATTCGGCTATGGGCCTGCAGTAGTTGGCCTCGCAACAACGGCTCGGAAGCTATGGTAGTTTCAGGAAGACAACTTCAACCAGCAGTTTAGATAGAAGGATGAACTCCGGCGTAACAGTCTTGTAAAAGCAAGAGGCGGTGTATACGAGCTACCTAATATGGTACTGGTAGTTGTTAAGGACTGCACGATGGCCTAGACGCTCTAAGCATGATACCGTTGTCTCGGTTCCGAGAGCTAAAATTGTAGACATCACGGTCAAGTCAGTGGCGCCATTGTGTAAGATATGTTCCAAATTCTGTGGATTCGTGTCTCAAGAGACAGTGACTGTGACCGTCAGGTATCAATGCTATGATTTTTGAGAGGACCCTCGTTGTGATTCAAGATATCGTAGATCAAGAAAGACAAAGGAACAAAGAAACAAAGAGAAAACCCTCAACCCGCTTTTGTACATGACTGGAACGTGTAGAAAAGCGGCTCGCGAACTGCGCGGTATGCCCATCCCGCCAGGAGAGTATTATATGCTCAACTCCTCCACAAAGGAAACCCAATCCTGAATGCGCCATAATCTTCCATTAGACAAAACACATGCGCTTCGTGTAGCATGCCTCCTCTTTTCCATGTGTATCCTGGCCGGGAGATGCTGCAACTTATGCAAAAGGAAATCGCAAATGCCATGTCGCTCCAAATGCAGTACTTGGCCTGACGTGATAATCGACGGCTGCGTAATTAATACAGGGAAATAGTTGATCAGGCCGCGAAGGCTTGATCCTCGCTCGAACGCTCTGATCCAAAGTGAAATATCTAGAAGAAACTTTTGTTTCTTCCCACAAACTTTTGCCCAGATGCGTGTGACCAGCACGAAGCGAGTCGTATGCTTCTTTTGAAATGCTCGTAAGTCGCGTCGTCTTATCCTGCGAATCTACATTACTGTCATGAGCTTCATCTGAGCCGCAAGATCCGCCTCTTGTTGATGGATCGTGCCAAATGGTGGCTCCTCGTGTAGGGGGCTCGTAAGAGGGCTGGAGTATAAGCCCTCTGCATCCCTGATTGTGTCTTTGACCTTGCGCGTCAACGTGCTGACATATGGCACGATACGTCGCAGTGTCGAGGTATCGAAAGGGACTTTCTTCGAAGGGGTCGAAGGTATGGGAGGCGCGTCTAGGAACGGTTCATACACGCTCCTCCTCTTTTGCAGCGCTTCAATGACGGAGCGCGCTTTGGCTTCTGAGTCTTTGCGGGGTCTCGTAGCGATGGTCTTCGACTCCTGGGTAGCGGGGGTGGCGTCAGCCTCCGATTTAGCTGGTATCGGTGAAGACTGCGGGGTAAAGATTCCATTGCTCGAAGGAAGGATAGACTTCCGCAGCGGGCGCGCCGATTGGGGCGGGTTCTTGGTGCTATCCTCATGAGGAGAAGATGATTTGCGCCTTCTTCTTCCATGGCTAGGGCTTGCAGATGGGTCTTCAAAGGCGTCTTCGTCGAAATCAGGCGATGATGGTGGTGAGTCGTGAGCAACATCCTGATGATCGGCCTCCTGATCTGCAAGCTCAATCATTGCATCCACTTCAAGCCACATGCCGGAGGGTGTGCCTTGTATCATACCAAGCGCAACAGCGCGTACTCTTTGCTCTTTTAGTTCTTCGATTAACAGACCCCATTCGCGCAAGAGACTGATGTTTGCAAGAACATTGTTCTGTTGCTCTTGTATGCTCTTCGGCACGATCATTGCTGAGCTACTGTCCAGTCCAGGAGAGCTTCCGTCCTCAGCAACAGGCTCCTCGGTGAGTTCGGAAAAGTCAAAGTCGTCGTTCCAGTCTTCGGTGACACCCTTGCTTCCCACACCCCAGGTGCCAAACTTGTTTGTAACTACTGTGTTACGTTTGCCAGTCAGATCCGGGACCACGGGCACACTCTGGCTGCGAGCGTGCAACCCGCTAGGTACTCGCCGACCAACAGATCGACTGCCTCTGCGGTCTGCATCCTTCTTTCCGTGCACTGTACGGGGACGCGGCGGTGTGCGGTCTCCTGAGTTCTTGTCTGCAATTTGCTGTTCAGACCAATCGAAGATGCTGCTGCGTGCGTCCTTGTCACCAAACTCTGATGTGGAATGTTGTGGCGTATTTGGGTTGGTAGTGAAGCCCGGTGCGAGTAGATGCGTGTGCTGTCGCAAAAGAGCCACAGGGTTGGCCTTGTGGTTGACTGTTGGATGATCAACCCAGGGATCCTCATCATCTGCCTCTTCTAGTGACCACCTACTACTGTCGTCGTCGTCTCCTGCGCGCGAGTCCCATTCCAGCGTGCCAAGCGAAAGCGGCTTGGGCATGCTCGGGGAAGACGACGGTATCGCCTTGGGGAAGAGCGGCGCACTGTGTGTTCGAGTGACACCGGGCGAGTCCTGCAAGGAGCGTTGGGGGCGCACTGTCCGCACGGGAGTCGATATGCTCTCCTCTTCCTCGGCGATGCTCTGGTGGCCTGCGACACCATTGACCATTGGTTCTCCAAACGATCCGGGCGGCAGTAGATCTCGTAGGGCTGTAATCTTGACCTTGGAGGGGGGCGACTCGTCGAATATAGTCTCAATGCGAGGCCCACGCGCGCCAACGGTTGAGCCTCTGGTCGCACCCGTGCGCAGCGAATCAAAGACGGTCTCGCTCTGGACATCAGCGTCGTCCTCGTCGCCGGACCCTAAGGCGCGAAGTTCATTATCAGACGAGCCGACCAATGTCGAGGCCTGTTCTGAGGGGGCCATGGAATGACGCGAGGCCCGAACTCCCGATTGCGCTAGAGTAGGGGATGGTGGCGCTTGATTGGCGCCCGGTGCGGCTGAGGCCAAAACATCGAGCTGCTGGGGCATTGACGCCAAGGCCGCGCCAGCAACGGGATCAGTCGAGGGGAAGGTAGGGAACAAGGGCGACGAGACAGGCCTGCTCCGAGAAACATTGCGGGCAGGTGCTGTGTCAGTGGGCCCAGCGGACGTGGCGATGTCGCGTCTTGCTGGGGTTGGGTCTGTCACATCTCGTCGACTTTCTCCATATGAGGTGCTGTGTGGCCGTCTGCTCATAGTAGGCAGAATCGGTGCTGAGTTGACCCGCTGGGTTGCACGGCGGGAAAGTTTGGGTCCGGGCACTGCGACAGTTCGCTCCTTCCTGGATGAGAGGAAGGAGGTGATGGAGAAGGAGCGTTTAGGTCTGGGGGCATTCTCGGGTTGTGATGTGGAGGGCCGACCGCGAGTTTGGTTTGTTACTTTGGTAGCAAACGTGGCCGCCATGCTAAGTGGCGTCTCTGGTCGACTCACGAAGAAGACGCTTTCGGCATCGTCGCTTGTCGAGTCGTCCAGATCCTCTACGCCTGCTACGACCGATCTTGCGAGCACGAGCATAGGCTTGTGCTTCTCGTCTGGAAATATCCTCCTGAACCCATTTGCATATGCCACTGAACCACGCCGCCTCGCCAGTGTCCGTTCCTTGGTGATCCTCGCTGTGAAAAACTGTGTGTATTCGACCTCACTGTCGGTGCTCGGTGAGGTCTGTTGTTCGTCTGTTGAAGTATGTTCGGCCGTCATGGATAGGCGCGCGCCGTAGTTTTGCAGTGTTGCGTTGCGTTGGTGGCTGGTCGCTGGACGACGGAAGGACGGTCGGAGAGTCGCAGAGCCCAAGACAGGCGCTTCATGGGGCCCGCGCACTGACGAGGCGCGCTTGACCAGCTTGTTGCGCGGTACTGCTGACGTAGAGCGTTTGTCGATTACGGGCACGGTCGAGCCGTCGTGCGAGAAGGCCATTGAGCCATTGGAACACGAGACGGCTGGTGACAGTGGAGATGGGCTCGTAGCCCGGCTCGATGAGTTGGAAATAGACGAGAGGCGCTTGATCCACGAGGCTCGTCGCGTTGGCACGTATCTTGTCGTGTCCACGTCAGACACACTCTGCTCGCTCGAAGGGTAGTTGTTTGCGCTGCTCGGCAATTGCAGCGCCGCATCGTCGCTCGTCTTCCTCCTTACGATTCGCAACTGGGAACGGCCTTCCTGGCTGAGTCGACTCGCAAATGACATGCGCGAGGAAGGGGCGACGGGTATGGGGGCACTGTAGGAAGGCGCAGTCGTGGTCATGGCAGCAGTAGACATTGGATTAAGACCCGGCTCGAATGCCGGTGTCGCCTTCTTCTTATTGAGGTGCGACGAGTCGAACGGGGCCTCTCGTCCAAAGGCCAAGCCGACAGAGGATGTACCAACGACAGTGGCAGTGGCACAGAGCTGTATCACAAGGGTCCGTCAGTCATGGCGCCTAGTCAGACTTCTTATAACAGAGGTATATTGAGGTAGGACAGGCTTGGTGCAGCCATTCTCGGATTAGACGCAGTAGAGGTGTCGATCAAGACATATCAAAACAAATCAAGGGCAGCTGCAGCGCGTACAGAAGATCCATGAACTTTGAGATAGAGAAAATGCAGGGTAATTACCGTTGGAATCGTTTTCATTCTCGTAGGAAACCAAGCCGCCGGGGAAAGGTCACTCGTCGAGGCGCTTGTGACGACTTGTCGAGCATTATGGCATGTCAGGGTGCCGGTGAACCAGGGATCGCGAGCTGCACGAGTAGGGACGGTGGGAGTGGAGGGGCTCAATCAGGCGCTGGGGCAGGCGTACTGCATTACGAAGCGTAGTAAAGGAAGGACGGCACAAGCACCGCGACGGGCTGAAGCAGAGAGGTGGAGCTCGACGAGCAGCGAGCGGAAGACTGAAGAGAATCCAGTGCTTGTTGCTTCTGGGATCTACGTACAGGGCTACCCAGCTCTCTTTGGATTAGCGAGATGTCGCCGATGAGGGCTGATAGCGGCAGCTCGACTCGAAACATAACACGGAGGCACACAGACCCCATGCCTCACTTTGCACCGTCATAGCTCCACGCTGCGTGCAAAGTCAATCTCATCAGCCAATGCTGCATGATATGCGACGTGCCCAAGCAAGAAACCTATATCCATGGACAGTGAGGGCCCGCTGCGGTGCGCGGTGCCCAGTACCACGACGTTGCGCGAGTCGGCCTAGGACAAGCTCTAGCGCCGAGTAACAATCAACAACAATCAGGGACATGGCGCAGAGAGGCTGGAAGAACCCCTCTGCCGTCAGAGCTACCCAAATATAGTGTACCAGCGAGCATCCCGGGCGCCCGTCACAACACACGGTGATTGGCAGCCGGCCGCTGAACTGCCTGGAGAGACCCCTGTAGCGCAGTGGAGATGTTTGCTGATCGCGGCGTACGCAAGTGTCAACCGGCTTATGTAGTCCATCGGTGGTAGCGAAGGCGTGCCTTAGACTGTGCAGCCACGGAGCTATCGCATGCTACCTCACGAGCACTCGGTACAGTCAACGGCAGAGAGACCTTGGTACCTACGAGCATGGCCTTGCCGTATAGATATTTGTTGAATCGGCTGTTTCGGGCACCAATTGCCCTTGTGGGAAAGCTGCTCATGGCCACGATCCTGGATAGCCGAAACGCACAGCACGTCAGCCCCAGAGCGGAGAAGTCGTGAGCAGCGGGAACATGGGTTGAGGATGGGACGGAAACGGTGACTGAGGCAGCGAATTCTGCACTCGGGGGATATCTCCGGCAAATGCGCGCACGGCATGATATATCCACCACGGGCCTGTAGCCATCTGTGGTTCTGAACATGATTTTTCTGAGGCCAAATCAAACGACATGGCCACATCACGGGTTGCATGCCGTAGCCAAGGCGGCTCCGTGTCCGGCCCAAGGCAGCTGGAGCATGACTACGACGGTCAGGATAGACTCCAGACGCTCTGGCAGACTATCGAGGCCGTTGTGCCCCTCCCTCTAGGCATAGCGGCCGCACGTTGGAGCTCATCTGGCAGACGGCTTGCTGGGCGAGCTGTGCGGTGCAGAGCCCAAGGTGACTGTGCGATGCGTGCTGTCCTGCGGGCACACAGAGATGCGAGTAACCGGGACAATCCCAGAAGCACATCATTGCTAAGGCGCCTCCAGACGCGTGGTGCAGATCCGCCAGCTCTGCCAGTCCACAAACGCAGAGATGGGTTGTCATGTTTGATGGGCTGTCGGCGTCGATGCCCTGATTGGCCGCCGCCCGCTCCTTCCAGAACCGCCGCCACGCCACATTTGGCTCCCCACGTCAAAATGTTCTTTGCCTTGGACAAACAGCCGTAGCACCGCAATAAGCAGAGACCGCCCACTGCCCCGCTATTACACTGTGACTACCGGAAAAGTCTCGATAGTACGATAGTATTGCCCGCTCGCCGACCAGGCCAGCGCCACCGTGACATCGACTGCGGCAGACGTTGACTTTGTCGGACAACGCACCACCCAGGATCTACCGCCAGCCCGCGACCATGGAAGCTGAAATCAGAACTCAAATCCCTAACATTGACCCCGTCCTGTCAGAGTACTCAGCGGGGTACCTTACCCATGCCGCCAACCAGTTCACTTCCGACTCGGACCCCAATGCCCCCTCACCGCTCGAGGAAGCTGCTGCCACTGTGAGCGCCCTGCTCCTATCAGCCTCTGGAGATCTATCAAGCCAGAATGAGACGAGTATCCAAAACCTTGTTGACAAGTTCATCTCCCGCCTGAATGCCGCCAATGGCACCGACGGCGAGCGCCGCCAGATGGCACCTTCAGCCAAGAAACTCGACCAGGCTATCCACGTGGGCTCTTCCAGGAACATCTCCTCCACGCTAGGTCTCGCTGGTGGCGCCGTTGATCTCGAGTCTGCCAACACACGTAAAGTCGAATCCAGAGTCGACCGCAAGAAGCTCGAGAAAGCTGAACGTAAACTCCGTGCTAAGCAAGACCGTAAAGAGTTCAAGAATGTTGAGTATGAAGCCTCCCGACTTCTCAACGAGCCCAACGAGGCGCAGAGCTATGAAGAGTTCTACATGGCCGTCAACCCACTGCAATTGGGTGACACTGCCTCGAAGAGCAAGGATATCAAGATTGACAGCTTTGATATCTCTATGCCTGGATTACGTATCCTTACCGACAGCTCTCTCACGCTCGCATATGGCCGTAGATACGGTCTGGTAGGTCAAAACGGTATCGGTAAATCCACTTTGCTTCGCGCCCTTGCTCGCCGTGAGGTCGCTATCCCTACTCACATCTCGATTCTTCATGTGGAACAGGAGGTTAGTCAGCATCCCCATCTCTATTTGCAAAAACTGACTTTGGACACAGATTACTGGTGATGACACTCCGGCGCTGCAAGCTGTCTTGGACGCCGACGTTTGGCGCAAGCATCTCCTTAGGGAGCAAGAAAAGATTAGCAAGGAGCTAGCTGAGCTTGAAGAAGAGCGTGCTAAAATGGCAGATACTTCTGCAGATGCCGCCAAGCTCGACACTCAGCGCGAAGGTCTAGATACTACTTTGAGCGACATACATGCCAAGCTCGCAGAAATGGAATCAGACAAGGCTGAGTCTCGAGCAGCAAGTATCCTCGCAGGTCTTGGCTTCTCACAAGAGCGACAGCAATTCGCGACCAAGACGTTCTCTGGAGGATGGAGGATGCGTCTGGCACTTGCACGTGCGCTCTTCTGTGAACCTGATCTACTATTGCTCGACGAACCGTCGAACATGTTGGACGTCCCCTCTATCACCTTCTTAGCGAACTACCTTCAGGGTTACCCAAGCACCGTACTTGTCGTATCCCACGACCGAGCCTTCTTGAACGAAGTAGCAACGGATATCATTCATCAACACTCTGAACGACTCGACTACTACAAGGGTGGTAACTTTGACTCGTTCTACGCGACCAAGGAAGAACGTCGCAAGACAGCGGTTCGCGAGTATGAAAAACAGATGGCCGAGCGTGCGCATTTGCAGGCTTTCATCGACAAGTTCCGATATAACGCCGCCAAGTCTTCTGAGGCCCAATCTAGGATCAAAAAGCTGGAGAAGATGCCTGTTCTTACTCCCCCAGAGGCAGCATACTCAGTGCACTTTAAGTTCCCAGAAGTGGAGAAGATGTCGCCTCCTATCATTCAGATGAGCGGCGTCACCTTTGGATACAGCCCTGACAAGATTCTGCTGAAAAATGTGGACCTTGATGTGCAACTCGACTCCCGTATTGGTATTGTGGGACCCAACGGTGCCGGAAAGACAACCGCATTGAAGCTTCTTATAGGAGCTCTTCAACCCACCACTGGTATCATCTCGCAAAACCCACGATTGCGCGTAGGATTCTTCGCGCAACATCACGTTGACGCACTGGATCTGAATGACAGTGCCGTTGGCTTCATGTCAAAGACGTACCACGGACGAGCAGATGAAGAGTATCGTCGTCACCTCGGTGCCTTTGGTATTACGGGTATGACAGGTCTGCAGAAGATGGAGTTACTGTCAGGAGGTCAGAAATCGCGCGTTGCCTTTGCGTGCCTCGCGTTACAAAACCCGCACATTCTTGTGCTTGACGAGCCGTCTAACCACTTGGATATTGAAGCTATGGACGCGCTTTCGGATGCTCTGAACAAGTTCCAGGGTGGTGTACTGATGGTCAGTCACGACGTTACCATGTTGCAGAATGTATGCACAAGTTTGTGGGTGTGTGATAACGGCACGATTGAGCACTTTGACGGTACTGTCAAAGATTACAAGCGCCGCATCACAGCGCAAGCAAACGATGCGGGAGTAGTAGCGAAACACTAGAGACGGGTTGAAAATATTACATATGTGACAGTAATGAACACTTATCCATGCTCGAGAAAATTGAGCCTCTTTGAGACATGCTTCGGTCCAGATTGCAGTTACAAGTCTTGGTGTTGCATTACTATGCCGGTGGTAACAACTCACTCCATTGTGCCTGCCCTTCGGAAGTTGGAAGGCACGCTAGACCCAAACCAAACGCCTGGACTCAATAACCACTCTCCGCGTCCATCGTACCTCATCACACGCACCACATCTCCCACGCAGCACAGCAAGCAAACACTTGCGTACCTTTCACCTCGAATTCTGTTCCACCTAAATGCGCGTAGCTGCCTCGTGGTGCCCACGCGCTCAGGTTTAATTGACAGCGGCTACTAGCGCGCTTGCCCCTTCGAGCTCATCATCCGTCTTGTCCAATACACAACCACCGGCACCTTGTCGCGCACGCAGAACTCCAGTACAGACGGCTTGTCCGTAGTCACTCATTTGCATCCGAATCCCACCGATCGCGACTCCTCTCGTCCGCCCTACGCCGTCACCGCGCCCGCCAGCAGCACCGCAGCATTGACGACAGCCGGCGAATCACCCTACCCACCTCCCTTCTCCTCCCTCTTCTTCCCGTCCGAGGACGCTGAGGAACGCAGCAAGCCCGGTGAAACCACAGAAGACGAATCGCCTCCCGCATTCACATCTGCGCCTGCCTTTACCGAGTCATCCTCGTCTGCTGCCACTAAAGCCGCCCTCCCATCCGACTCCAAAGACGGCTCTAGTAGCAAAGACGTCGACGACGGAGAACCACCGCCGCCCTACAGCGAAGGATCAAGCCCGCTCGAGTCTTTCACATACGTAATGGCATCCGCAGGAGGTCCCGCGAGTATCATTACTCAGGTGTCGCAAACAACAAACGCAGGACCGCCAATCAACACACTAGGTGGATCAGATGAAAACATTACTTTGGAATTGAGGTAGTGACACCGCTCACCACACGCGATACTGGAAGCTAACTCGAGATTTAGGGGCACGCGGTTCACTCTGTCGCGAGACGAGCTTTTGACTCTCCCTGAGTTCGTCCTCCTCTCCCTCTTTCCCAATGGCCTGCTCCCAGATGGGCACATGAACTCCTACCACGATGGAGATGTATACCCAGTCGACGTTGGTAACCCCACTTCTTCTTCTTCCCCTTCCATTCCCTTGGCTCCAGCAGCTAAGATCCTGTACCACCTTTCCAACCCCGCATTATATTTATCTGACAATATCTATCCTTCACAGTATGATCCAAACTCTTTACAGTACATGTTGGAGTTCTTCCGCACTGTAGCCCAGACCATTCCCGCGTCTCCTCCTTCGCCGACCGCTGCCCCCGACCATGCTGCCGAAGCTGTACCTATCGAGCCTATGCATGGCTCCGCTAGGGACATGCTACAGGATCGCGCTGGTATAATTGTCCTTCGCGAGGACCTCGACTTCTACGCTATCCCGCCGCACCGCGATATAACTCAGCCTGAGATGATTGAAGTTAAGCGAGCTGCAGGTGAGGCACTGCTAAGACAGGATGGTATCTTCTCCGGCCTCAGGAAGAGCGAAGAACCAGGAACGACCGAGCAGCACCTCATCGAGATGTTGACCGCAGGGTAAGCAAGATACGGGCAAAGTAGAGACTAGCAGCTAACAACATCTAGCGGCTTCAACCACGACGACCGATGGGGCCATCGTGCCGGCGAGCCTAACAAAGCCGTCATTTGCAGCATCGCCCTTGCACGCCTGAGAACGGACATTAAGGGTAATGATCTTGCTAATAGCAACGCTGTTGGTATGGCGCAGAAGCTGCTCCTCTTCTGGAGGAAACCCGCTCGCCGCTGCTGGTGGGAAGGTGTTGAGCTCGACAACGTTAGAGGTGTCGAAGGCAAGCTCAAGGTGTGGATAAGGAGAGTCTGGACGCTCGAAATGGTACGGTTGCTCTAATCTGCAAGCACAACTTCCACTGACAACATTCTAGAGCGTTATCGGCCTTCGCTAGGGCTTTCGTCAGGGCCCCCGCTACGTGTGGCGTATCTTTTCTTGACCTTGGTGGCGTTTCCCTGTTTACTCTTGACGTTTCAATCGCGGCATCACTACCGCCGATGAAAAGCACCGGCTGGCTCATCGTTTCCTATTGTTCTTGATACCTCTCTACTTTGGTTCATCATCACCTATGGAGACTAAGGCAGATGCTTTCCATCCCATAGCAAGCGTTGGCATCATAAGGGCTTCTTGAATTACATTGTTTTTCTTTTTAAGATAATCTACGGGTAAGGACGTACATATGCTTTGTATAGCAGTAGTAGTAGCGGCAGCAAGCGGAGAATTTAGGCCCGCAGTAAATTGTAATATCTCTTGTCAGTAAATCCCATTTTCTCTAATCCCATGCATGCCCTACATTTCTCGTCAGAACTCAACTCATTAGCAGCAGTCCAACTTTTCGTGTCACTCAGCCTCAGAAGTTATGTCGTGGTCCCAGATACCTGGTTCGATAAAGGAAGAGGGAAAGTGTGGTGAAAGAGGAAGCCTGGGGATCCCAGCTGTTCAACAGGAACACAGCATTTTTCGATGTGGGGTTAGTTTGCGGATGGAAAAGCTTATGACGCCACAAGAGAAGAGGGGAGGGGCAGTTAAGACATTGTGACATGTGAGGCTGAATTCGGTACCGTAACCTCGTACCTTGCATGCTGTGCGCGTGGGGAAGGAAAGGCACAGCATGGTGGCTGCATGGAAATTTCATGTCGTGGCTGTGGGATGTGAGACCAATATGGATTGGGGAAGTGACATGTTGTGGAAGGGAGATGATATAGGAACAGGGCGTATTGTCGTTTGGTTATTGGGCATTGCACTCGTAACTTTATGACTGGGTTCATTGGTTCTGCATATCATCTATTCTACAACCAGTTTTGTCAGTTGAAACAAGGATGGAAGTCATGTGAACTGTTCATAAGATTTCGTATATGATTTCAGGAGCATGACCACAGGAGCCTTCTACGAACAACCCAAGGAAATTCTAGATGCAGCTCGCTGTCATGAACAGGAAGAAAACTCTCCGGTATGGCGATGTGAGTTGGTATTCGGATCTCCGTGCATAATAACCCAATGGACACTATAGCAACCGTCATCTTCCACATCGCAATATGGACAAAGCTACTTCTCAATCTGATACATCGAAATTCAGCGTTTTCGTCCTCGGAAGTCTAGGTCACAGCAGCAAAATGTCCGATCCGATGTCAAAGGTAAAACATGCGTCTAGCGGTCACACTGGAACGTTGGGCAACGTTGTGTGTACGATCGGCTGTTGGGTTTGACGTATGCGTGCAGCACAGCATGGATGTGGAGGACGATAATGAACAACGTTTGAGGTTGAACATGCACTGCAGACGTCAATACGTCAAAAAACGGCTCAATGGATACTCTTGCATATCTTTGGAGCTGGGCAGGGGAAGTAGGTTTGTGTAGCTGCACGTTCATCACAGAAGACATCATAAGTCAAAAAAAGTTGTTGTCGACGTGGACATGGAGGCCCGTCATTATTGTTCATTCCTCAGTCCACCGTCACATTCGGTGCACTGTTACTGTTCTTGCGCTGCGTTTAAAAACGCAGTCTATCTCATCCATGTCGCACTCTTACATAGGGTATCATCTTCGGTATTGACCATGGTTGAAGGGTCAAGTGATGATGTGCAAACCAACGCCTTTTGAAACCCCGCCGAGCCCCGGGCTCGATGCTATGCCGTTGAAGACAAAGAACTTTTCGAAGTGGTATCATAACGTCGTGTTGAAACTTCCCAAACGCTGTACAGTAAGAAATCTAGTAACGGTAGATGTCGCTCTTGAAAGGACCCTCAACAGGGAGACCAAGGTACTCGGCCTGGACATCGCTGAGCTTGGAAAGCTCAACGTTGACGTGTGCCAAGTGGAGAAGAGCAACTTGCTCGTCGAGAATCTTGGGCAGAACGTAGACGCCGACATCGAGCTTGCCGGTCTTGCCGAACTCGATGTACTTGTTGCCGAACTCCTCGTCAGAGGCCTTGTACAGCATGATCTGGGCAAGGACCTGGTTGGTGAAGGAGCAGGACATGACGAAGGAAGAGTGGCCAGTGGCGCATCCCAAGTTGACGAGACGGCCCTCAGCGAGGAGGATGATGTAGCGGCCGTTGTTCATCAGGTAGCGGTCGACTTGGGGCTTGATGCTGGTGACGGACTTGGCGTTCTTCTTGAGCCATGCAACGTCGATTTCGATATCGAAGTGACCGATGTTGCAGACGATGGCGTCGTTGGGCATAACCTCGAAGTGGGCGCCAGTCAGAATGTCACGGCAACCAGTGGTAGTGACGAAGATCTGACCCTGAGGAGCGGCCTTCTCCATGGTGGTGACCTGGAAGCCGGAAACGGCGGCCTGGAGGGCGTTGATGGGGTCAATCTCAGTGACGATGACACGGGCACCCATGCTGTGGAGAGCCTGGGCGCAACCCTTACCGACATCACCGAAACCAGCGACGACGGCGACCTTGCCAGCAATCATGACGTCGGTGGCACGCTTGATACCGTCGACGAGAGACTCACGGCAACCGTACAAGTTGTCGAACTTGGACTTGGTGACGGAGTCGTTGACGTTGATGGCGGGGACGAGGAGACCCTTGCCCTTCAACATGCGGTAGAGGTGGTGGACACCGGTGGTGGTCTCCTCGGAGACACCGTAGCAGTCCTTGAGCATCTCAGGGTACTTCTTGTGGACGAGGGCAGTGAGGTCGCCACCGTCGTCGAGGATCAAGTTCAGGCTCTTGCCATCCTTGAAAGCAGTGAGTTGCTGCTCAAGGCACCACTCGTATTCCTCCTCAGTCTCGCCCTTCCAGGCGAAGACAGGTACGCCAGCGGCGGCAATGGCGGCGGCAGCGTGGTCCTGGGTGGAGAAGATGTTGCAGGATGTCCAGGTGAGCTCAGCACCGAGGGACTTGAGCGTCTCGATGAGGACGGCAGTCTGGATGGCTGCGACGGGTTAGCGATGTGCAATCGCAGTGAGACGGGTGTGTAGCATACTCATGTGAAGACATCCAGCAATGCGGGCACCCTTCAATGGCTGGTCCTCAGCGTACTTGCGGCGAGTCTCCATCAGACCGGGCATCTCGTTCTCGGCGAGCTCAATCTCACGGCGACCGAACGCCGCAAGACTGATGTCGGCGACCTTGAACTTGTGGGCGGGGGCAGACATTCTGGCGGTTTGTTGTGATGTATTGGGGGTATAGAGAAGGGAGAGGGAGTGTGAGGAGGATGAAGAAACAAACGTTCGAGGGAGAAAAGTGGGAGAGATAGCCCCGCGCTCTAGCAGTTGTTGACGCTAGTGGACCCTTAGACTTTGCTCCACATCGGCAGTTTACTGGACGAAGACAACTCACCGCCCGAGAACAATACTAGGACGCGTTGATAAGTCTATTGATGCGATTGGAGAAAAACGTGCAGTAGACCTTGGTTCTAGTTGGTAGCATCCATAGCACATCCATAGATGCGCGTACACATGGTCCAGTTCATCCTGTCTTCAAACCTCACGCTGCGGGGCATGAAACGACACCCTGTTGAGCATTTGCGACGCGCCACCTTCTCGATACGAATGCAGTAAGCTCGTTCGTAAGCACCGAATATCACCGAGTTGATCAACTACGTCCAAACGCTAAAAGTACAACACTCCGCTCTTGTCGAGCTCAGGTATAGTGAGGCACTTGGCCTTTATCGCCCTCGGATCCTGCCGCCAGCGGTGAGACGCCGTTGTCAATCTTCTTAGGACCAGGCCTCTTAAAATGCGGCTTCAATGGTTCCCAGCTTTCCGCATTGTAGCCCTCTTGTATCTTCTGGCACTTTGTGAGACCCCAATCCGTCACGCCAATCATAAGACAGCTCTCGAACATGAACGCCATGCTTCCCTCACCCACCTTGTTGGGTTGCAGATCGACATTAGATGCTTTCTCATGAGTCGCAGCATCAGGTCCATGTCCTGACATGACATTGTGAAGAGAAGCACCGGCGGGCTGGAAACCTCCACCAGTCTTCGCGTCGTACTGGCCACCAATAAGTCCCATGAATTCTGACATGGTGTTGCGGTGGTACCATGGTGGCCGGAATGTGCCCTCAGCAACTAACCACCGTGGCGGGAAGATGACAAAGTCGGCTACTGCTGTGCCAGGCCGGTCTGTTGGCGCAGTGAGAACGGTAAATATGGACGGGTCTGGATGGTCAAACGAGATGGATCCTATGGTGTTGAAGCGCCCAAGATCGTACTTGTAAGGGTAGTAGAGTCCATGCCATGCGACCACGTCGAACGGCGTGTGTCTCTGCTTCGCGGCGTAAAGATGTCCGGCAAACTTGGCGAGGATGCTCCATTCCGTTTCGGTGTCTTCATCAAAGTCGGCTATGGGCGCTTGGAAGTCTCGCGCGTTGGCGAGGCAGTTGGAGCCGATAGGTCCCAGCTCAGGGAGTGTGAAGTGGCCTTGGTATAGCTCCAAGATGTAGCCTCGCACAGGACCTTCTGGCAACGTGACACGGTACCGAATGCCTCGCGGTATGACGCATATCTCGTTGGGACGTACGATGAGGCGACCCAACTCGGTTTGGATGTCAAGCACGCCATGTTGGGCCACGATCAAGAAGTCGCCGTCAGCCGAGTAGAAGGCCTCATTGGCCTCCATATCTTTCCCTGCCGCATAGATGAAGTATCCAACACCCGACTTCATTGTAGGGTCACCAGCACCAGCCACTAAATGTAGCGAGTGCACCCAGTCTACCGTCTCATCGAGATCGAAAGGGTCCCATCGTAGCTGATTTGGAATGTAGTGTATCTTCTCCCAAGGTTTATTCTCGGGGTTCGTGTTGAAAGTTTTCGACTCGCGAGGTTCGAAGTTGCTGTGTCCGCACGAGGGTAGGATGCGGTAGAGCCATGTTTGCTGGTTTTCGTGACGCGGGGCTGTAAAGGCAGTGCCTGAGAGCTTCTCGGCATAGAGGCCATATGGAGGCTTTTGAGGAGAGTTTGCGCCGATTGGCAGCGCGCCTTCTACTGCTTCAGTCCTATATGTCATTAGTAGAAATTAATAGGCCAAGGTCATCTAGCCATACTCATGGTAGGAGTTGAAGCCATTCTGATATCGGTATTTCTCCTTAAAGGCGAACTGGGTAGACGGCATTGTGCTGTTTATTCACACAGGATCAGTCAACTTTGGGGAACTTTCTTCGCAGACTGTAGTAAACAACGATTCAGTACGCGCACCGAGGTGCTAGACGTGTAAATATCCTTCGCGGATGCTGCGGAAATGCAGGGTCGCAGTAGCCGTAGCAAGCTTTCGCTCGGCCATGGCGCAGGCGCGAAATCGCGAGATGCGGTAATGGGCGGCTTCGCATTCCGTCGTTTGTCGCGTCGCAAGAGCAAAGCGGAGAAGAGATGCGCCATCGAGAGCGCTCGTGTCGGCTTACCCCACAGGTGGAGAGCGGGTGGCCCCTGTATGTTGGCAAGTGACGGAATCTTCCCGCGCCCGCCTGCACCCTTCTTCCGTCACAAGCCGGGAATGCATCCCAAGCACCACATGGCCCTGAGAATTGCGACTATGGAGCCGAAACCCCGATCCTGGGATATTCCTTAGTCTCTGTGAGCCTTGGCCATCATATCAATCGTCGGGACGAAACTATTGTATGTGAAATTGTTGAGCATTTGCCGCTACTACAACAGACATCCATCATGGCTTCACTGCGATCTTGGTTTAGCATACCTCGTGGATCGCACTTCTCACTGGCGAACATCCCCTTTGGTGTCATTTCAACAGCATCATCCAAGTCACCGCGGGTCGCAGTCGCCATTGGAGATCACGCTCTGGATCTCGAAGTCTTTGCCGCAAACAATGGCTTCTCAGGGCTCTCAACAATACAGCCGCATCAAGCTGTCTTCTCACAATCGTCGCTGAACGCTTTTGCAGCACTTGGTAGGCCAATTCACTCCGTGGTTCGGAAGTACATCCAAGGCGTCTTCTCCGTGGACACGACATATCCGGACGTCCTGAAGAATAATGTTGCACTTCAGAAGCAAGCCCTGATACCGCTAAAAGAAATCAAAGCACATTTGCCATTCAAGATTGGTGATTATACCGACTTTTTCGCGGGTATGAACCATGCTTACAACTGCGGCGTCATCTTCAGAGGTCCCCAGAACGCGCTGCAACCGAACTACAAGCATCTTCCAGTCGGTTACCACGGTCGAGCATCTTCAGTAGTCCCATCTGGAACTCCCATTCGGCGGCCCAATGGTCAGATACTGCTCGATCCTACTGCGGAGAAGAAGGTGCCTGCGTTTAGCCCGTGCAAGAAGCTGGACATTGAGCTAGAATTGGGAGCTTTTGTGTGTGGCTCCAATGAACAAGGAGTGCCAATACCAATTGAGAAAGCTGAGGAGAACTTGTTCGGTGTTGTACTCATGAACGACTGGTCAGCGAGAGACATCCAAGCATGGGAATACGTGCCTCTAGGGCCCTTCAATGCGAAGAACTTCGGCACTACAATCAGCACTTGGGTTGTACTTGCGGACGCGCTGGAACAGTTCAAAACAAAGGGCTTGGACAACGACTCAGAGGTGCTACCCTACTTGAAGGAGAAGAGCGAGAAGAGTGTATACGATATCAACCTCGAAGTTGATGTCAAGAGTATGTCCACAAGCGTACCATCTTGAGTATCACACGCTAATCATCTTCAGCGGCATCTGGCAAAACAACAACGATATCGAAAGTGAATGCACGAAATCTGTTGTGGTCATTCCCACAGATGTTGACACATCATACGATCACGGGATGCCCTTTCCAACCGGGCGACTTATTGGGTTCTGGTACCATCAGTGGTAATTCTCCGGCTGAGTATGGAAGCTTCCTGGAGCAGAGTAACAATGGTAAGGAGTCTATCGCACTGGAAGGTGGTGAAAAAAGGACATTCTTGGAGGACGGGGATGAGATCACAATCCGAGGTGTATGTGGTTCGGATGAGGAGGCTTTGGTTGGTTTTGGAGAGTGCGTTGGTCGCATTGAGCCTGCTTTGAAGCTAAACTTTGCTTGAGCACCTCGAAATATGTGGATTCATACTTTTGACCGTCAAGGTGCAGCATATGAAGCCCTCTAATTGATTGATGCGATAAAACAGTGCTACCACTATCCCATGCTAAAGCTTCTCTACCAGGCTCTTTTTTAGTCAACTCCACATAATCGATGCTGGAGTACTATAGTTTCTTAATTCCCGAACTTTCTGCGAACTGGACTAGCATTGTCGCATGTGCTGATCCCTCGATGTATCGTGCGAAGGAAAGATTCCGCTAACTACAGGCCTTTCGCATCTCCACAACATAGCATACGTCAAAGCATGATCCAGATGCGCTGGAGGAACTTAAGCCTCCCCTGGTAGCACTTTGCTGTTTTAACATCTGAGGTACTCGGCATTCGGCATAATCTTAACATGCTCAACCTTTACAGGCTTCCGCGGACCCGAGGATCGGAGACTGGAAAGTAGCCCTCGAAAAGTTTGCAATACCAACGCGCAAGTCTGAGGCTCTTTCCGCTGCCTCGATAGTTGAACTGCGCTACAAGCTTCTCCATCGTCCCACCGAAAGTTTGTTGTACCCATTATCCCGTCCTGAAGAAGTTAGCCTATCGATAACGCGTCCCGTCTCCGCACCGTCGCGCTAACATCAACACCATCGTTCGCGGCATAATTCCGCTACAAACCACACAAGCTTCTGCGCACGATGACATCCGAGACGGCTGCCCCGCAGCGACGGAGCTACCTCGTTGAATTCAATGCTTGGACCGCTGATGGCCAGTCAAACGGAAGCTAATCATGCTGAGCCTGACCATGGGACGCCGCGTCAGGCTAGGGACTTCCTCTCAAGACAAAGCGCATGGCACTGAAGGTATCATGCTGCTATAAGTGCTACCGAAGGCTTGAGCTCCTTTCTGACTTACAGGTTTTCTTCTCTTACTTCTTTCGCGTCTTGTCATAGACGTTGAGCTTCTCCAACATCATGACTATCCCCATCTACATCGCTGGCGTTGCCGTCTTGGGGTTCTTCTTGTATAAATTGCTATATGGAACGGACACACCCCATATCAAGGGACTGCCAGAAGTCCCTGGTCTCCCTCTCTTCGGAAGCTTGTACGAACTCGGCACGAACCACGCGAAAGTAGCCCAAGGATGGGCAAAGAAGTATGGCCCCGTCTTCCAGGTGAGGATGGGAAATAGGGTAAGCCATAGTCTTTGCAGATAGAGAACACCCTGAAAGGATCGTTAGTGCTAATACAGTTATCTAGAGGATCGTGTTTGCGAACTCCTTCGACTCCGTCCGCCATCTCTGGATCACAAACCAGTCCGCAATGATCTCTCGACCCATGCTTCACACCTTCCATAAAGTCGTGTCTTCCTCCCAGGGCTTTACCATTGGTACTTCGCCATGGGATGAGTCGTGCAAGAATCGTCGCAAGGCTGCTGCTACAGCTCTAAACCGCCCTGCCGTACAGTCCTATATGCCACTCATAGATCTAGAGTCTACCGTCTCTATCAAAGAATTGCTACACGACAGCAAGGGTGGAGAAATCGATATTGATCCGCGAGCATACTGGCAAAGATATGCTTTGAACACAAGTCTGACACTGAACTATGGATACCGGATAGACGGAAACAAGGACGCACCTCTGCTTCAAGAGATTGTAGATGTTGAGCGTGGTGTCGGAAACTTCCGGTCGACGAGCAACAACTGGCAGGACTATGTGCCACTCTTGAGACTGTTCCCCAGCCAGAGCAATGAAGCGATCAGCTTCCGAGAGAGGAGAGATGTGTACATGGATCGACTGCTCAACACCCTGACAGAGAAGATCGAGAAGGGGACGGATAAGCCGTGCATTACCGGCAATATCTTGAAAGATCCAGAAGCGAAGCTGAACAGAGGTACATCAAAAGCGTCTCGCTTTTAGTCTTGTTTATGCTAACACATAGTAGCCGAGATCAAGTCCATCTGCTTGACCATGGTATCAGCAGGTCTCGACACCGTCCCAGGTAACCTCATCATGGGTATTGCATACCTCGCAACTCCGAAAGGTCAGAAAATCCAGCGACGCGCATACGAAGAGATTATGAAAGTCTATCCCAACAACGACGCATGGGAACGCTGTCTCCACGAGGAGAAGATTCCATATATCACTGCGCTATATAAGGAAATCTTGCGATACTGGACCGTCATTCCTATCTGTTTACCTAGAGTTTCAATCAAAGATATCGAATGGAACGGCGTCAACATACCAGCAGGAACAACATTCTACATGAACGCATACGCCGCCGATTATGACGCGGAACACTTCAAGAATCCACAGGAGTTTGACCCGGAGCGTTATTTGGACGTTCCTGATGGCGCGGGAACACCACACTACGGATATGGCGCTGGCTCGCGCATGTGCGTTGGTTCGCATCTCGCCAACCGCGAACTCTTCACTGCGTTCGTAAGGCTGGTATCGGCTTTCGAGTTCACGCCACCAGTGGACCCGCGGGATGAGCCTGTCATGGACTGCTTGGAGGCAAACGCTATCCCCACCAGTCTGACAATGGAGCCGAAATATTTCAAGGTCGGGTTCAAGCCAAGGAACAGGAAGCTACTGGATCAATGGATCAAGGAGAGTGAAGAGCGGACAAAGGATCTGATGTAGATACGTGTTGAGCACAATAACTGCTATATAGCTGAAATCTCTATAGTAATCTTGTACGAATTCGGATCTTACAGAGAGAGCTTTTGTTATGGAAGGCACTAATTGCACCTAGGCCAGGGGCTTACAAGAATCCACTTTCATGGGCGGCAACATGCCCAACTTAGCCATATCCTGATACGTTTCAAAGATGCTCTCCATTGTGTCCACAAACCCATTGAATCCGAACCTACGCACCTTGTTCCCTGATAGCGTGCCAAAGTAAGCAAAATTGAAGTCAGCCATCACCAACATTTGTTTGTCAGCTTCAGGCACGTTCATTGTGAGTTGCCCATTAGACTGCTTCATCATCTCCTCCCAGTCTTTTCCGATTTCCGTCTCCTCAGCCCATCTGCATAGCGGATGCGCCAGCTTAACCTCGATGGGGGGACCGTAGCCCAACGCGCAGTCTTTACCGCCAGCAAGATAATTGCTCTCGTACTTTGACTGATCGTTGTCGGGGCCGACAACATCAGTGCCGAACCATCGCCCAAGCTCGTTCCAGAAACGGTCCCAGCTAATGACCCCACCGTCTTGGGCGTTGAAACGTTGGCATTTGGCTGTATCCTCGAGGACAGCCCACTCGCTCAAGTACCCGGTCAGCCGGGCAGTGGAGTGAGTGTACTCCGACTCCCAGCTATGGAAGTCGGCAGGGTATTGGAGAGGCTGTTTCCTGTGTGCTTGGACAGCGGCGTAAACACCATACGCGAGAAAAGTGTTCATGGCTGCGGTTTGTACTGCGCCAATGACACCTGCCGGCATGACGATGTTCCAGTCTGTCTCAGGGTGCTCCTCGCAGTAGTTGAACAGAAGATCTTCTTGATGGTAGTAGAAGTTCGGGCTGAGGTGCTTGGGCTGAGGGTCAGACTCGACGAGTGGCTGGCGTCCACGGCCAATGTGTACGCCATAGTTCTTGCCACCCGTCTGAAGGAGGATACGTTTAGGCTTGAGGTCAGCCTTTGGTAAAGAGGCAAGGAAATTCCTGAAAAGTGGGACGTTGGCTTCAACTAAGGCTTCTGCTGAGCTGGGGTCCATGTCACTTTTTCCATTTCCAGGGGGTAGGTAAGCATAGTAGAAGACGTAGTCTGCTTCTACACCTGCATCTTTTAGCGATCTGGCGATGTCCTCACCCTTGGAGCTGAGGTTGATGGAGACGTGCTGGAGCCGGGCGCGCTGCTCGTCGGTGAAGAATGCAAGAAGGTCTTTGGAGAATGGCTTTCGAGAAAGCGCGTAGATCTTGGACCAGCGATCGGGAGTATCGAGAAGGGAGCGGATAGTGTTGAATCCTGAGATGCCAGTGGCTCCGCATACAACAGCCTTCAGACCCTTCACGCTTGCATCAAAGGTGGGCAGGTTGCGGTAGATTCCCGAGGTACGGAGAGGTTGATCCAAGGAACTAGGCATGATCGTGGTAAGCTGATGAGATGTTCAGATGATGGGTTGCCGTTGAAGTGTTTGTCTTTGCTTGCCCTCAAGCTGGGTTTCTCTTCCCTTTTATGTTGAAGTCGAGAGCAAGACTAAACGCTCGAAGCCTAGTCCACCTTTGGGACATCGTAAAGATGTAACCTCATTAACACCGAAGCTTAACTCGATACCTTGCGCTATGCGACAATGTAGTCATCCATCAGGCGATGTATCTCGGTGATGAACCCACGAACTGAACCCACGCTCCACGTTGTGACGCAACGTGGAGCCAGTTCTCCATTATTCTTGCTTCGGTAGACCCTCTGCCAAGCTGTAGAGAAGTCCTAGTGTATCTGGGAAAAGAGGCTCAAGACCATTAGTTCCCGGCCGCCACGCACGTCAACACCCAGGTGCATGTCTTTTGTCGTTACAGATCATAAAACCTAGCCTTGTCTCCAAGGCCCCAGTTGAAGAAATCAAGTCCACTGGTGTTACTCATCGTGTGCTAAGACCCTAGGACGCTTAGGTGGCACTTCCAGAATCCAACATCACTCTATGCATAACCTGCTGCGTTTGGGCTTGCCAAGATGCTACAGTCGTCGTTGTTGAAAGTAGACACTGCATTCTATCAAAAGAAAGTACCCTAGACCATACCAGATCGATCTGAAAGTGCATCAGCCTATACTAAGTGGGTCCCGGAGCGGGTGTCGGTCGCCGGAGAGGACCCCGAAATGCAAAGATTAGCTCCTTTCAATTCTCTCATCTTCTCTTCACGCCCCAGGTCCTTCGTTGTGTTTGTGCTGTGTCCTTTGTACGTCCTTTCGAGGAGATTTGAGGTGGTGTTCGGGGTCGGTCAATTTACAAGCCGATGACGTGACTATCCTTGGGTCTACCTAGCTAGGATCACTAGTAAATTCTCGTTTCGTATCCACGTCATCTGCTTTCCTTTCCCATACTGCGGAATATTCGCCAATGTTATTGTTTTACGCTTCTTGATTTGCAGTGTTTGAGTTGTGATGGCTCCCTCATCTCTTGGCTTGACGCATCTGAAATGGGACCGATCTTCCAAGGTTTCCTCTCGCCCTAGCTGCATGTGTAGATTTATCAAAATTTTCAGGAAGAAATATGCTCCTTGATGCAGTTATCAATGAAGCTCGGTTGTGAGCTATTCCCAACCGCATTGTTCCTCGCAATCCAAGCACGATGATCCCCGACCCAAAGTACAACACGACATTGGAGAACCAAGATTCCGTCCACTGTCGGCTATATGCCTGTTAGGCTGATAAGAATCTTCTTAATCGGCAAATGTTGATACGCAACTACTTCGTGGCATAAGAATGGAGTAGAATTTGGCGCGCATCTTCGCACTGTGCTAGGTAGCATGCATTGACATTTACGATCTCAAAACATAGTGTGGTGTAGAAAACCTCTCTGGCATTCTTCAAATAAGGGTAATTGTTTCTACTGGAGTATCTTGGGTCCAGAATGGTTTATCGATGCTTCGCGTTGTATTTTCAAACCAGCCGATGCGACGGAATACGCGAATGTTTTGTTGAGTTTGTTGACGAAGAACATAGCCGAACGGGTCCCCATGTTTGTTGCGAGCCATATCTAAGAACCATATACGTTGACTGGTTTGAACGCTGCCTGGTACGTCGTTAGGCATCAAAGTTTTAGCTGAGGAAGGTAATATCTCATCTCCGTCTAGGTAGATCTTGGCTAAAGATACCTCGCGCGCATCGGTAGAGTTGATTTGGAAATACTCCGGTATTAGTTTTTCATCTAGTGAGCGCAAAGGTCCGTTTATGACCAAATGTCCACCAGAGACGGCCCCAAACAGATTGCTTGGGTCCACTGGAAGTACTTCGCATTGTATGACTTCTGCTACTAGATCCTCTTCCTCAAACGGTCCGGAAAAGGTAACGGTTCCCTCGACAGAAGCCCATGACCATGATGGTGCACGATATGTTGTTGGTCGTTTAGCATGATGAAAATCCTCAGCCGCCGCATCCTGTAACCACATCAACTCAAAATGGAGCGAAGCTTTCCACAAGCCGGCTAAATAACTGTCTCCAGTGATGAGATGCATTTGCTGAGCAACACCAGATATTGCAGGAAGCTTATCGCTTTCTTCGGTGATCTTCCGTCTGCTGAGATCCATAACGGCGTCTGTCATGTGTTGTGTAAGAACATGGCTTGTGGAGATTTTTCAACCGTCGAGGCTGTTAAGGGAGAGAAGATGTACGACTCTAATCTGTTGATGCCCATGTCGTATACACTTCTAGGATTCCCACCGTCGGTATATCTTGCAGTTTGACACTCCCATGCCAACTGATAAGACCCGAATGACAGCACGCGTGGAGAAAGCAGACGCTCTTGGAGAGTCCAAGCTCTCTGATTGGGTGGCTCCTGATCCACACGACGCCAAAATTGCCAGTGTAGCGATACCTGACCGAAGCTGCCATCATCACAACTCCAAGGAAGATCCTCGATGGTTATCTCACGTTCCGGTCGGACTCTTTTCAAGAGAAACCCGTCAGTACATCGCGATGTGTTTGTCGCTGCTATGGTTGCAAATGCATTCTGGTAGATGCTTGCCATCCTCGCAATTTCTCGATGCTTATCTTCAACGCTATCTTGCACAATGCATAGCGAATCTATCCACAGGTACTTGATTCCCAGCTGTCGCGAGAATATGATGGCATCCTGAACCGTCTGCGGCAAGTCTGTGATTCGATTACCGGCTTTGTGGCTTTCTATGTTCCCAGTCAACGTCCGTATTGGTTGTGGGCCACCCCAACTATAGCTTAGAGCGCAGTAATGATGCTGCTCGTTGCGAGGAACATGCAGTCAGACTTTGTCGTTACTAATATTCAAAACTCTTGTTGGCAACTGTGGAACCCTGAGCTCGGGACAATGTTCGTGGAGCTTGCACTGCTCGATCCATGATTTAGCTTGCTCAGCGCTAGAATTGACGTTGTAATTAACCGGAGACCATTTGATATCTGTTGCCGCAGGATCTTCTGAGTATCGTGGCAATATCAGTTGCAACAAAAGACTATATACAGGAGTTTGTGGGTAGTACGAACCACGATGAGCTAAAATGGACCACTCGGTGTCCAACCATGGCAAATCCTCGCTATCGCACTTGATGCAAATCTGCAGAAGATCTACGGAGCGCCAGGCGTCCAATTCGTTCTTAAACTTGAAGTACCGGACATTGACGACAACCTTCGCGTCTGGGCTGATCGTGCTTGAGCGATGCTTGAGTCGGTTGATCAGGTAGCTACACATGCGACATTTGGCCGATGCTGTAAGCAAGTCTTTCGGATGAAGAAGCGATGTCAGACCTTCCTTACTCCTAGAAATATCAAGATTTGCTCTGCTTGATCCAAATCCACATACACCCCAACAGACTGAGCACGCTTTGTGTATCCCGGGTTCCATGATGTCCATCAGGATCAGATGGATATTGTTCAGTACTGTCCGGGTCTTGTTATGAAAACCGAAGCAGATTTGTCTTTTTTGGGGTCTGAAGATTGAGTGAGAGCTGTATATAGAAATATGTCGTCCAAGAGAAAAGTTGCAGAAGCAGTGATGCGTATGATAACGGGTGGGGCAGACAGCACAGCAAAGTAGTCCCGTCCCACAGTCAGTAAGCGGCAGAGATGAACTTCAAACATCAAAAGAGAACCAGTATATATGGCTCACGGTTCTCCCATTTGTATGCGACGTTCTTGACGGAAGCTTTGTACAACTTCAAAGTCTTATATGGTTATCTGCGCATTTTCTCAACAGTTCTTCTTTGCTCTTTTGTTTGTATACTCGAGACTCTGAAAGCTCCACAAAAGCTCATTGCAATGGCTATCTTCATCGCAAGTTCACATGGGGATAAGAGCCCAATTTTGGCTGCATCCGTCCAGAGAGTCGCCCCTTCCGCATCCAGGGAGCAGTGTCATCGCAGGCTGTAGCACGTGTCCTAATAAGGAATGAGCCTCCGTACTCGTCTGCTCACTTAACCACTCACTCACTTGCTTCAAGGATTTGACCTCACCAGAGAAGCAAAACCACTCAAGGTCGTGACAGAAACTTCCTTCATCCTCCACCTTCACCAATACACGACACCTCGATAGCCGCCAGACACCTGCATAAGCAAAATGTCTCCATACTTCGACAGCTACAACACCTCAATCCTGGTCATTCCAGCCTACGTCATTCGTAAGTACAATCTCTCCTATGAGATGTCCAGCGCAGTTTGTCGTTTAACCTAGCTCGCCCATGCTCAGTCACATTCCTGCCTCACGTCCTCGCTATCAATGTTGCTACTCGGGGCAACTTCCTCACTTGGGACAATCGCAACCCGCGTTCTAGCGACCTTGGAGCTCAGCTCAAGCAACGCCTACCGGCTGTAACCTATGCCAAGTACGAGCATATGGAGGCCTGCCATGCCAACGGGATGGAGGTGAGGACCTGCAAAGCCTTTGTTCATCTGGCCGTCGAACTGACAATGACAGAATCTCCCTCACTTCATCGGAGCAGTCGTCCTAGGAAACATGGCTGGGCTGGCGCAGAACGAGCTTGCTAAGTTCGGCGCTTGTTTCTTAGCTGTCAGGATTGCATACACAATTGCCTACATCACGACTTCGACTCAAGCGCCTACACTCATTCGCAGTAGTCTCTGGATCGCAGGTGTCTCGCTGTGCTTCCGCACTATCATTCGGGCTGCAGGAGCTATGGCTGCCGAGGCCTAGATCGGCGAATGATGTTGTGCTGCGTCGAGATACTGAAGCATCAGACTAGATTGATGATCAGAACATAGCACAGATAGGAGCAAGAAGGACATAGGAAGAATATCTAAGATGACAACAATGTCAATAATGTCTGCCTTATAGTAGCCATGATGTCTACTTGGTGATGTGATGTTGTCCTCTGAGGAATACGGGAGCCTGATATAGGGGGATGCGATGGCCTGAAGGATGCTAGTACTTACTGAGAGGTATGCAACTTGGTTCGGGTTGAGCCGTCCTGTTGCCTCGCCCTCTTGGAAAAACGCAATGCGAACGGCACGGTAGTAGGCGCATTGATCAAGACAAGTCCCCAAAGAGTAGCACGAACTACACATGGACTTGATCAGACGTCGATATACAGCGGTCGCCCAGTCAGTAGTGCGGATAGCTGTGGGTCCTAGAGCTCACGCAATCCTGGGGCAGCTGAGCCGATCGCCCAACCGAACATTTATGGGTGCCTTGGGGTTCCACTTTCAGCCTTCAGGAGAGCCAAAACGTGTCAAGTTCTTAGTAGCGATCATAAGAAGCGTTCCAAGTAAAGGAGCAGCAGGAAGCAAGAAGTCACTCACCGCAACTCCTTCAACAAAACGACGATAAGCGATCGCCGCCATTGTCACGTGTCAGTGGCACTTGCCAGCTTACGAACAGTGCCCAGACTTCGCCGCGCTTTCCACCACATCTCTTCAACACAGCCCTTCCTGTGCATCGTTTAGAGTACATCACATCCACCCGCCCCATCCCCGAATACCACCGACTCTCTTGAACCCGTCCGTAAGTCAATCGCTGCTACATTGTTTTTTCTGCACTTGCTTTGCCCAGCCCATAGCGGGCGCCTGGCCAGCTCTCTCTGGTGGCCTCGAGTCGTCTCCGCAACGGGCGCTCAATACGCCCGCGCCGGCCATGCGACTGCAGTCATGCTGCTCAATACATGCCGATAAGGCCACGACGCTCTCCCCAACACTCTTCTAACAAGTAGCGTCGCAGGTTCGAGAGTCTATACACCGCTTTCCCACTCGCCCTCACACTACCACACACACCCACCGCAATCATGGGTCTCACATTTTCGAAGCTCTTCGACAAGCTATGGGGAAAGAAGGAGATGCGCATTCTCATGGTCGGTCTTGACGCTGCCGGAAAGACCACGATTCTCTACAAGCTCAAGCTCGGTGAAATCGTCACCACCATCCCTACCATCGGTACGTCGCCATCTACACGACAAGATCCAACAGGGACAATGCGCTGATTCTTCGACTTCTAGGTTTCAACGTCGAGACTGTCGAGTACAAGAACATCCAGTTCACCGTGTGGGATGTCGGTGGTCAGGACAAGATCCGTCCTCTGTGGAGGCATTACTTCCAGAACACCCAGGGTATCATCTTCGTCGTCGACAGCAACGATCGCGACCGTGTTGTTGAGGCGCGTGAGGAGCTCCAGCGCATGCTGAACGAGGACGAGCTGCGGGACGCTCTCCTCCTTGTCTTCGCCAACAAGCAGGATTTGCCCGTAAGTTGCAACGACAGCGAACAGACATGTGCAAACGACTGACGATGCGATACTAGAACGCCATGAACGCCGCTGAGATCACTGACAAGCTTGGTCTTCACAGCCTCCGACAACGTGCCTGGGTGAGTTTCGAGTCACTCCTACTTCCAAAGCGTCTCCACTAACTCCCTGCAGTACATCCAGTCGACTTGCGCTACCTCCGGAGACGGTCTCTACGAGGGTCTCGAGTGGTTGAGCAACTCCCTCCGCAAGGCCGGACACAACTAAGTTCGGCGGGCGCGAACCGTAATGTAGCGAGTCACGAAAATGCCAACCGTCTGCTAGCACAGACCCTCTTATAACGAACGCCCGCCCCATCGTTGTGGCAGAGCCCAGCCACGACGCATCTCTACAAAACCACGGACCCTGAAATGTATTTGCATCGGTGTCAAATGTCAGATCGGATGGTGGAGCGGGGAGACACATGGTTTCTCTTCTCTTTTTCACCATTTGGAGTTTGTGTGAAGTACTATGCCATTTCGTTTCTGGGATCGTTGGGAAATCAGTTCTCTGGTTACTTTACGTGGTACTATCAAATTTGAGTCTCTTCTTACTATTCACCGCTTTGATTGCATGTGTGTAGAGTGATTGCAGTTTGCTTCAAAATATTCATTGCTCCTTTCACATGTAGGACTACATTGCGCAAATCGTAATACATGCCAGAACGCCAGTCATCCCCATCCAGACCCTCACGCTACCCATGCAAGGCGAGAAAGATTGAAAGCTTGCTGATGGGTACTCCATATCAAATGGCGCCCATGTTCGTTACTGAATTGGAATACTATGCCCATGTTTAAGACGCGGGTGCAGCCTGCTGCCCATGTGAGCTCTTCGGCGGTGCGTTCTCCTTGGCTGCCGTGATTGGTGGGAGTAGACCTTTCTCAGCCCAGAGGTCGACCAGCGGCTGCATGGGCTCGATTTCCTTGTCGCCGATCAAGTTGAAGAGCTTGCCGACGTTGATGAAGTGAATGAAGCACGTGTTTAGCTCCTTGTACGCGCTCACGTTCCAGAAGGGATCTAGCCAGTGGCCGTGGTAAATGTGTGCATAGCACCGCATCATCTGGCGGTAGATACTCTTGATGTCGCCTTCAAAAGTCTCGGGGAAACCAGACGACTTGCCGAGCCACTCACGCCCGGCGAGTTGGGACAATGGAGCATTGGAATTGCTAGGAGGGAGAGGCTGTGGGGTTGAGGTGGGCGTCATGGAACCAGAAGCGTACGTCGATGCTCCGATGGAAATGGCTGTGGTGTCTGTGGGGAAGATGTTGGGGTCGTTGATCTTACCTACAATCCACTTTTGTACGAGGTTGATGTACTGGATTGCAGGGATCTTGATGGGCTTCTTGTTGTTGTCCAGCCAGGTGTAAGTATGGCCGCTGGCAGACATTGTAGGACATGTATCTGGGTTGCAGACAGGCTTGCCTGTCCTGTCGTCTACTACCTTGATGATCTCAATCATCTGCTCCAGTAGCCGGTACTGCTCAACAACTGGTCACATACTTAGCGACATCGGGATATTGGAAAAATCAAATCATACCCTGATGTGCGAGCCATTCACCCTCTTCGACAAGCTTCGGCTTTGCAGCCAAAGTCATAAAGTTACCCTTGACAATCAAGTTGGAGTACTCCTCGCGGAAGAAGAAAGGCGGTCTGCGGGAGCCAGATGGCACGGACCCATCCGACGGAGCACCTTGGCTTTCGAACGACATGGCAGACGACAAAGCTGGAGAATGCGGCATAGGCGGTTGGCCGGGAGGTTGTTGAGAAGTTGGTGATGCCGAGTATGGTGTTGTTGGTGATGCAGAGCCGCCTTTGCCCTGCTGCTGCTGTTGGCCCTTGTTGGATCGACCAGCCAATCCTTGGCGACTATCGGTGAAGTCGTTAGAAAGAGGAAAAGACAACTTAGGCCTCGGACGACGCTTGTTATAACACAATAGGACGGCAATGTGACGCCGAAATAAGGTGCATATCAAAAAGTGAAATCGTGAGACGACATGCAGCAAATGGCCTGAAACATTCAGGGTGTGTACTGGGGGTGGGAAGCGCGAGCATTTGAGGAAGGGGAGCATGTGCCAAGCAACTTACACGTTTGCGAAGAAAGAGGCCATGATTTGCGGATTCTGGCAATCTAGTGCGGGGGGGTACGGGGCGGATACGTCCAATGCACCTAGAGAGGCCGGCTTATGAAGGTATGCAAGAGGATTGAGGGGGAGGATGTTGGTGATACGTCTCGAGCGGGCACGCTTTTTGGGCCCACTCTCCTAAGGGCTGCATCGAGAAGGGGCGGCGGGCTAGGACTGTTTGGGATAGCGCGGTTCTCATCTTCTGGTGGTCGGACTTTGTTCACTTGAGCTACCAGCTGCTGCGCGTAACCTTTACCGGAACTATCACGTCAATTTCATTCGCAAATCGGGCACTACGGTCGCGTCGCTACATCTCGAGTTTTCCAAATACGGCATCGACAAAAAGCGCAATCCAAGCCACCAACCGCGACCATGTCCGACGCGGGCCACGACCCTACGCTCTCCGACGACGAAGTCAATGGACAGACAGCGCCTGCTGAGAATGCCGACGAGGGCACTCCGCTGAACACTGTCGAAGAAAACGGTCTCGAGGATGATGAAGACGACCTGTTTGGTGACGGCGACGACGGCGACGCAGCCGAAGACGCGCCAGCGTACGTCGCGAACAAATCCAGTACCAGTACCAGACTGACATATCCAGCTCGCCCCGAAAACTCGACGATGCAGAGCTCGATTCAGGCGATGATGAGGGACGGACGGATCGCGTCAGGGCACCAGAGGCCGTAGAGGAGGTCGAGCAACAGACATTCGCATACATGGACGCGGACCTGGCGCGGCATCCCGTTCCTGAACCCACAGACAACGAGCTCTATCTTCTCAAAGTCCCACGCTTCCTGTCCTTCGAGGACAAGGCATTCGATCACAAGACCTTCCAGCCACCCTCCACAGACCATCACTCCAAGGTCGCCGCGTCCGAACACTTCTCAGCATACGACACCGCCATGACCACAGTCCGATGGCGACGCTCACCCTCAAACAACGCTCTCCTACAGTCCAACGCTCGCATTCTTAGATGGTCGGACGGTTCCCTGACCCTCCAGCTTGCGACCGACCCGACGGTCCAGTACGACATCGACGCGAATACCCTTGCTCCACCACAAGTGAACCCTAAAATCCCCACCCCAACGGCTGTCAGAGACGAGAAGAATGGTAAGACAAGCTCGAAGAAGGAGAGCTACACATACCTTGTTGCGCCGTACGAGGAAGCGAACGTCATGCGCGTCACGAACAAGCTTACAGCATCTCTCAACGTCGTCCCTACATCAAACACGAAAGACGCCGCGCTGGAGAAACTACAAAACGATCTTGCCAAGGTTGCAGCAAAGGGCCGAGACGATGCCGACCAAGCCATATCCTTCATCGACGTAAACGAAGACCCCGAGCTCCGTCGACAACGTGAAGAAGCCACATTCAAGGAGAAGCAGAGACAACTGCGCGCTCGCGAAAAGCATGAGGAGCGCCAGAGAGAACGCGCGAACCGTACCATGGGTCGCAGCGGCGGTCGTGCGGCCGGAGGCCTCGATATCGATGGACTGGAAGACCGCGCAACTCGTAAACAAGGCAAGAAGAGAGGCGGTTTACAGTACGACCTGAGTGACGATGAAGATCTTGGTGGTCCAAGGAGGAACAGAGAGGACAGCTACGAATCAGAGGACGGCTTTGTCGTTAACAGTGACGAGGAACCAGAGATTGTCAGTGACGATGATGATCCAGATGAAGGCATGGCCCCGAGTCCAAAGCGTGCACGGGGTGGTGTTGCGGCAGACGATGATGACGACGATGAGGTTGTCGTTAGCCGGACGAAGCGGAGACGTGTCGTTGACGACGACGATGATGATGAGTAAGCTCTTCAAAGAGGTTTTCGTTTGCGTAAAAAGCGTTCCTATATTCTCAGCTGTTAAAACGAGAGCTCGGATCTAGCAACAAATGCTAGAGGAGTGGAACATGGCAGATATCTTGACGGCACGGTCTGTGCGATGTACATTTCAGGATCCCTTGAAAATCTGTATACTTTGAATATGGGTCATCAGCATAGCCAGGAGTTTGGACGCATCTATGCATTACACCTATTAGTTATACTATTGATACATTACACGGAGCATGGTGTCAGTTCATGTTGAGTTTTTATGTCTGAACAAGACCAGCGATATACTGTGCGATATAACTTGTCAGTTCTGGTTGTACTTCTATAGGCCGCCACATGCGATATTCACTACTCTGGTATACTAAAGAAGTACAGGGTTGTGGATTCTGGTAAGGCCTCATACTTCCTGGGATATCCGCTTATATCAGGTATCCGCTTGCCTCTTCTATGCTAGTGCGCTGCATGCTCGATTCGTGTACATGTATGCTCCAAATGCGTGTGTTGAGTCACTCTAACTCATGCATATTCATGTAGCATTCCGGCCAAACTTTCTGCCACAGTCACTCAGAATAGGTACTCCAATAGTCATTCGACATGTCCACTCAAGAACCTCTCCGTCTAGGATGGATAGGCCTCGGATCGATGGGCCTGGCCATGGCAACAAACATGCAGAAACATCTTAAAAAACACGGTCTACCGTTGTTGAAGTACTGGAACCGTACAATCTCAAGAGGTGATAGTTTGAAAGATATCGGAGGCACGCCATGCCCCTCAATTGCAGACCTGGCTCAAAACTGTGATGTGATATTCATCTCAGTACGTACCGCCGTGCGATAATCATTATGAAAGATCCATCTTTAATGATTGGCAGGTCAGCGATGACACAGTCCTTCGATCTGTCACAGAGACCATCCTAAGCAGCGGCTCCATAACCTCCAAAACTTTTGTCGACACAACAACAGTCCACCCTACCACCACATCAACTATCACCAACAAATTCACCTCCGCGAGCGCCTTCTACATCGCCACCCCCGTCTTCGGCGCCACGCCCCTCGCCGTCGCTGGCCGTCTGCTGGTCGCCGTCGCTGGCCCTCCTTCTGCTATCGAACTTGTTCTCCCTTTTCTCGAAAATGTTATCGCGCGCACTGTTATCAGAGTTGGTTCCGAGCCCTCCCAAGCCCTTCTGCTGAAAACGACAAGCAACTTCATTACTGCGGGTCTTATGATGCTCCTTAGCGAGGCGCATGTACTAGCTGAGAAGGCAGGACTACCAGCATCTGTTCTTGAGTCTCTGGTTGAAGAGAACTTTGGAGCCTACGCACATGGTGTTTCGAAACGTTTGACTAGTGGGAGCTATTTACCTGCTCCTGGCCAGGCACCTTCTTCAGGGTTGGAGCTTGGAATCAAGGATGTCGGCCATGGAGTTAGTCTTGCGAAACAAGCGGGTATGACGTTGGGTATTGGAGAGATGTATCTTGGGGCAGCGGAGGAGGCGAAGGCCTATGGAGATGAGATGGGGAGAAGATGTGATAGCAGTGCTGTTTTTGGAATTGTGAGGAAGAGAGCTGGCTTGGATTTTGAGTCAGACCGTGTTAAAGAACGAGATACGGAGAGGTAGGGCGAGGAGACGAAGTAATAATTAACCTAGCAGGCAAATGCTACTCATAATAATTAGGGAACAGATGGCGGCGAAGTCGTACGCGAAGAGAATAGAATAAGTAATTCCCTCTGAATCCCAATGTTTCACAGATTTCCCGACGATGTTCCCGACGATGAATTGCTTCCACGCTCTTCTCAATGCAGCGTCGGAAGGCTGGCAAGGCGTACGCAAGGTCGTCATTGCAGAAGTAGAGGCAGACCGAGAAGCTGTGGAAAAGAGATAGACAGCTTATTTCAGGCTGGATCATTGGTGATACACAGTGATTAAAGCAGTAATTTTGACAAATGATTGAGATTCTTTTGCATGAAAGCAATCCTTTTTAGTCTATGCAAGATTGAGTGAACAAAACTCGTCTATATCCAGATGGTCTAACCCCCCCAACTACGCACCTCTTTCCGCAGCTTCTCGTTCTGCCTCTACTTCTGCAATGACGACCTTGCGTACGCCTTGCCAGCCTTCCGACTTCTGGACATGGCTGACTCTCTTTGGCAAGTCCTCCAGACCCTTGAACTCAGCTGGTAGTACCTTGTCTTGGAAGTACTCCTTCTGCTCTGGAAGTGCGAGCTCTACGGCGTTTGCAAACTTGGCCGGGTGCGCTGTTGCGAGCGCAATGTGGTGTGTGGATGGGGGCTTAGATACCTGAGCCGAGCGTAGTGCCGCATGGATGCCGATGGCGGAGTGTGGATCCAGGACATAGCTCTTTGACGCCTCTGCGTTGAAGATGTCTTTGATGGTTTGGATGGTCTCTTCGTCGCTGACACGATACGAAGCGAAGTCGGACTGTGCTGCATCGAGGATCTGCTTGTCGACCGCGAAGCCACCATTTGTCTTCAAGTCGTTGAGCCAATTCCGTACATGGTCGCCAGCTTGGCTCCTTCGTTGTGATACCGCATCGGAGTTTGTGCTGTATACGTCGTACGAAAGGAACCAAAGCAACCGCTCGAAGTTGGACGAGACGAGGATGTCCATAGCCGGGCTCAGTGTCTCCTTGACTCCGCTCTCGTGTGCCTTGGCGCCATCCTCAGGAATGCCGCCCTCGGCCTTCTTTCCGTGCACAGGCTTCTTCTCGTACTTGCCGGTCTCCCAGAAGCGGTGCAAGATGTCGTTCTCGTTTGTAGCAATGACCAGCTTCTCAGCCGGTAGGCCCATGCGCTTCGCGAAGAAGCCAGCAAGGATGTCGCCAAAGTTGCCCGTGGGCACGACGAAGCGGACGGCGGACGCTGGGAGGAAGGAAGGTTGCTTGATGAGGTCGAAGTAGGAGTAGAAGAAGTAGGTGATCTGCGCGAGGATACGAGCCCAGTTGATTGAGTTGACGGCGGCGAGGCGGTGCGTCTTGTTGATCTCGGGGTCTGCGAAGAGGGCCTTGACGAAGTCCTAAGACGCGTTAGTTCTGTATTGCGGATCCGCTGAGGGTGCATACCTGGCAGTCGTCGAATGTGCCGTCTACAGCCAGGTTGTGCACGTTGGCGTCCATGACGGTCGTCATCTGCGCTTCCTGGATCGGGCTGACCTTGCCATGCGGGTGCATGATGAAGACAGACACATCCTTCTTTCCGCGCAGGCCGTAGATGGCTGCGGATCCGGTATCACCACTTGTCGCGCCAATGACGGTCAAATGTTCCCGATCGCGGCCGGTCTTGCCCTGGTTCTTGCGGACGAGGAAGTACTCGAAGAGGTTGCCCAGGAATTGTAGCGCGACATCCTTGAAGGCGAATGTAGGTCCGTGGAACAGCTCGAGCAGATGCAGGTTCTTCTCCTTGTCGAGTGTGACGGTGGGCACGACGTCCTTGGCGCGGAATGTCGAGTAGCTGCGGTGGATGATGTCCTTGAGGTCTGCGGACGGGATCTCGGACGGGGAGATGTAGAGGGAGAAGATCTCGAAAGCGAGGTCTGCGAAGGAGAGGTCCTTCCACTTGGACGCCCAGTCATCGGGCAGCGTGGGGATCTCCTCGGGGATGAAGAGGCCGCCGTCGGAGGCGAGACCCTTGAGGACGACTTCCTCGAAGGAGAACTATGCGTGGTTAACATATGACTGAGCGCAGTCCCCGCCGGTCCTTCTCACGTCATAAGATCCTCCTCGGGTACTCAGGTACCGCTGCGATGCTGTGTGAGAGGACATAATGTGCAGAGTCAATTAACAATCCAGCGCGACACAAAACAAAAAGTGAGAAAGGATGACAGTCGCTGTGTACCTATCAAGGGCAATGTAAAGTAATAGTCCCCGTGGGGAAAAATGTTGTTGTAGCTCCGGGATCGCTGTTGAGTCAAGGGACTACATCTCGCCCTGTCAAATTCCAGACCTTATGCACGCGTGAACTAGACTGCTGCATGATGATAATTGGCGTCTCAGTAACTTGACTGACAATCGCCTACGAACGGAGCCGCACAGCGAAAGCTTTATGCTTCATCCAAGGCAACTGAGTTTGTCCTGCTGCCCCGCCATGCGCACATGTCCTGCCCCGCCGTCCGCTGTGCCTGCATCAATGGCGATGTCGGCACCAACCTATGACAACATTGGTGCATACTCGCCCATACAAATCATCTGGTTTCTCACAAGCTGCTGCGAACACCTGAGGTAGAGAGATGCATTTCCCATGTTCTTTGTTTTTGTAGACCAGGACACGGCGCATAGAATTACGGTATGCTTTGACGATAACAACCCAAAAAGACCATATTCTTTCTCACTATGAAGAACTCGTGCAGTACGACGGAACCCGATCATACTTAGATCTGCCTGCAATACAGCTTTTTGGAAAGTCGTTTGCGTTAAGGGATCGAAGTGCTTACCAAAAGATTGATCAAACTACATTGTTGCTATATACATAGACTGTTCATGCATATGCGAGCATTCTCATAATACAGCCTAGATAACTTCACGATAAATCTGCCTTGTGAGACACCAGGTTTGAAATCTCAAGTACCTCCGGCCTCTACAGTGATACGAATCGACCGTAACATCTTGCAACAAGATTCTCTTACCATAACCTATCATTCGCATCGCTGCAGTGTTAGAAAAGCTGCACAATCGATCGCGTTTCTGAAAGTTTGAAGACGTGATTCCTTAGGTATCTGAGCTGATACATACTGCCATGATATCCCGCGAGTATGTGCCGCACAGGATACATACTTCAGCTTGACACCTCACGATGTCTGCATTCATGGCAGAGGCTGCAGTGCTTCAAGTATTCTATGAATCATGCTTGTAAGAGCAAAGCGCTGCGAGACTACTACCAAGGCTCCGCTATTAGAAAGAAAAATCTGTCTCGATGCGCGGTTCGCAAAGGAGTCCTGTTCATCTTGAAGTGGAGTTTGATCGAGGCTAGACGAACCGCAAGGACCATATAATGGATATCGGCGAAGTTCACGATGTTGGTTGACCAGGCTACCGTGAGAAGATCCGACCTGTAGTGCCGTGTTTGCTGCCTACGAAGTTGCTTATTTCTCCTCTGTTGTAGGCCATGATGTACCCTGGAGGTACCCAATGTGTTCCACATTGAAGGACGAGCAAGATCCGACTTGATGTATACTTCTGAGTAGATGTTGATTGTCAGGTATGGCTCAGAGAGAATGACCTCAGAACTTCTTGTAACCTCGAAGAAGCTCGTTCCTCGGGAAGTATGCACAAAACTAGAATGTACCCTGGAGGTAGTCACAGCGTTTCCTATTTGGGAAGACCATGACAAGTGATAGTGTATACCCTCACGTTACGGTTTGCTCCTGTGAACGGTGAGCATCATCGTACTATGCGTTGCGCACGGCCAGTCGGCAGCACGCCGGCAATTCAGCGGGGCCGGCAGAACTTCGGCAGCAAATTCTCGTCTACGAGTGCAAAGATTGCGCTTTTGCGTCGGTGCGCCCGGGCCCGTGCGCAAGCATCATTGTGCTTATAAGCTCACCCATTCTCGTCCTCTTCTTCTGTTGAATCATGTCGATCATACTTCATAGAATCATTTCTAATAGTATGCATCCTCTTCTGAGTTACTCTAAGTAGCCACAGAATCTCCATCCTGGTTGATGACTATCAGCCTCGGTGTCCTAGAGTGAGGCCTTATTTACGATTGCTTCGGCGATCGTGGCGATGACCTTGTGCTGACCAGCTGTGTACTTCGGTCACACTGGAAGGCAGGACGTTGACGGCAATCTGACAGGCCTTCTTTTTTCATTGATCTTTTCTGGCTTGCCAGTTGGTCGAGGAAGAATATTCTTCACAACTCCACAACCCCAATCTGTCGTTTGGACTTCGCATCCTCAATACCCACATGAACTTTATCTCGTACATGCGCATGTTGATAGTGGCAGCAATGCATGGAAATCTATCAATCTATGGGAATCCCATCTCCCCAAGCACTTCTCAACACCACCCATACTTCTCGTTCGCGATCCAGTCAATTTTGTCAGCCACTGGTCCATCGTGTTTAGGGTACCACTGCAAGCACGCGATGCTCTCCATGTCCCTATGAACTACCTCCGCAGCTGGGTCCAGCGTCTTTGCAGCTGCTAGCGCCGCTGGTGAGGGTGCCCACATCTCTACATGCTCCATCTTCCATTTCTGTGCCTCTTGCTGCGCCATGGCTAGGAGTGCTGCAATAGCAGCATCGTGACCCTGGTTCACAGATGCGCCATTCGTACTACCCGAAGAACCCTCCCAACTGCCATCCTCGATGACCAGGCGTAGAATATGCAGCGTGTTGCCCTTGGCTTCAGCTGGATTTGCGTTGTACCACATTCTTGTCCAGTAACACCAAATGCGTTTGCCCTTCTCCGTACCGACAACAGCGCCTTTGATTTCTGGTTGCTTGCCATGCAGCTCATTACCTACAAACTCTTCACGCGCGTGGTGCCACCGAATAGTCTCGATATTGGGTATCAGAGCGACTGCAGTGTTACTGTCCTTCGGTCGCGACTCCAGATTCCGGCGGACGGAGGCCATGTCGATCCTGCACAGCTCCTCCAGATCCTCTGCATACAACGGACGGGCAGTGGGTAAGCTGCTTGTGTCCTGAGAAGTGGTCCCAGGAATGGAGACATGTGATGAAGTAAAAGGCTCCCAGCCAAAGGTATTGTAGAATTTCTGTCTTTGTTAGAAGTGTATCGTCGTAGGATATCCAAGCTGCCCACCTTCCCGATATCAGAATATAGGATCGAGAACAGACACTCTTGTCCATCTTCTGTCTGATAAGTTTTCAACGCCTTCCCAAGCTCCGTCATCATTCTTTGCGCATATCCCCGCTTGCGTAAATGGGTTGCACAGAAAACACTCCCAATGCCGTGACATATGACCTCCTTCAGTTCTCCGTTTTGCCACACGAGTGCCTTCTTCCGGTATGTTTCGCAGCTCGCCAACGGCAGTCGAGTGCCTGAATCTGGATCCAAAGGGTTATTTGGCAAAGATGTGTCAACCAAGATCCAGTACGAGATGCCGCCATCGCGCGTTAGAGCCTGTTGTGAAAGAGTAGCCTCACGTCGGAGGTAGGCGGGAAGGGAGAGTGCACCGCGCCATTCACTCCCATTGAGTTTGAACTGTATCTGCTTTTCGGCTTCGGTAGGGTGGACGAGTGCTAGGGAAGGAGCGTCGCCCTTGTTGAGGTTCTCGAGAGCAGGTGTGATAGCCATGTTGTAGGCGGATGTATATCTAGGTTTGGTACGATGGGGTTGGCTTGACCCTTTGCAAAGCTAGCTAAGCTCTTATATCTACTGTTCGACAACACTTGTCGTAGGGCGTGACAGGCGTGGATTCGGTCCTGCACAGATGCAGTCTTCCAGATCAAGAGGCTGTAACAACCCAGCAAGGGAAGGAATAGCGGGTCCAGCTATGTCGATACGGATCTAGGATTCGGATAGCTAAGGAATAAAAGGAAGTTGGTACATGTAGCTCTTTGTTTAGTCCAGGACGCCCCGCGTTTTGACGACTCCATTCCGCCTTGATCTCCGTGTGATCTTATAGCTGACCCCATATCTCCACAAAGGTATTCCGAGCATACATCATGTTGCTCGCGGCCCGAGGTGTGCCGTGGCAAAGCGAGAGTTCGATGTCACAGCTTACGACGGGTCATGTGCGGGTTTCCGATTCGTAAGTAGCCCGTGTCTTGCATCGGGCCAGGCATCGGAGCAGGAATTTGCTTGTCATATACTCACACGCTGCGCGCACCCATTGGCAGCGTCTCCGATACTGATTACAGACATTGCTTCTTCTCAGCCCTGTGCGACGTGCGCGCAGGCTCGTGACAAAATGGTTAGTGGCAGTTGGGCTAGCGGGACCAGCCAACTGCACGATCATCCGGGCGAGACGCCCATCTCCCGCGCTCCAGAACGGCGTAGTATCCCTTCACGACAACTAGTCATCTCTGTTTTGCTGAACACTGGCAGCGCTGTAATGGCTGTACATCGATACTTGGGTATGCGCTGTTGTGGCACATAGCTACTGCCTCTGCTCTCACCCTACTGGTGCCGCTGCCCGTTCCGCTCGCTGTTCCGCGATAGCTCTTCGATCTCTCGCCAGCCTGCGCCCTGAAACCCTTACGCCGCTGCAAGCTGCAGTGCGAAACGCCTGCTCTTCTCTTGATCTCGCTTTGCTTCTTTTTCGTCCACCTTCAGCTAGTGCCCATCAGTCGGTGAGAGGCCTCCAGCAACTGGTGGGGTGAGTGACAAGGCTACATTCAAGTGAATTGAGCTGGTCTGAATCACCTAAACACTACACACGTTTGCGTCACCATCGCCCCCTCACTCTTTCCCCTGATTTCGACTAGATACAATTAATTTTTAATATTTGGTGTTCTACTTCCAAGGTCCTCAAGAACTGCCCAATCGCTCCGATAACAACCTTCCACAGTCGAGACTACTATCAATCAGCCTTACAACCGCTGTTTTGGAAAACCTCCAATGGATCCGACTGGCATTCATCGCGATCATGAAGTGGTTAACTTGCTCTCTGATAGTGAGACGGAGGATGAAGGCTTCACGAGACGCGAATTAGAAGATTTCGACGCACGATCTGCAGCGGAGTTTGCTCACGACTACCCTGAAATGGATGACCCCATCGCAGGTTTCCGCACTCAACTCCGGGAACACGACCACCAATTCATCGATTTGACCGAAATCCCAGACGTTAATGTTCCGCCATCTGACGCTGTTGTGGTAGAAGAACAAGAGCCACAGCCTGAGGGACGAGCTCCTGAATGGGGAGATGAAGCTACAGTCGTCACCGAAGCGGCCTGCTTGCAGATGGTATTGAGCGTGTTGCCAGATATCTCGGTCGATTATGTTCTCAAGTTGATTCAAGAAAAGACGACAGACACCACGCGAACAACAGCACAGTGCGAGCACTTCCTGACCGAGCTATTAGAGGGCGATCCATATCCCAAAGAGTCGGATGACGCGAACAACAAGAAAAGGAAGAGGGACGATGAAGCTGAGAGTGAACTGAGCACCTACGAGAAAGCCGAGCGTGACCCCGAGATCGGTGGTTATGAACATGACGCGTAAGTACTCACTTCTTCACAAATTCTGTGGCGCAATGCTTGTATTCTGCTGGCTTCGCACATCGATACAGTATTAGATTGAGACACATTGCCATTTTCTGCTCGTATTGAAGGGAGTATTCTGAGGTTTTGCCACACCTCGAACCATGGAACGATCTCCGTGCTCGCAATACTGGCAACGTCACGCCTTCTTTGTACCTATCTACCCCTCTCGGCCAGACTTCTAACATTAATTTTCGCAGAACAGAGTTGCTAAAGGACGAGTTTCTCACTGTACCTGTACGGCATATTACGAGAGTTCTCAAGGAAGAAAAGACTCTTTACAAAGCCTACGGCGTTCTTGAACGACAAGTGCGCGATTACGCGCACGTTGCTAAGACGTTTTCGTTAATCAACAAGTCCCGTAACAAGCGCGGTGTTCAACTCCAGTTGATTGAGCAAGGTAGCCAGATACCCAAGGAGTTGCACGCGGCGAAGAAGAAGCGCGAAGTCGAAGCGGGTAAGTCGCACCTCGTAGTAGTCTATCTCATGAACCAAATTAATGGTCAACAGCCAAACGCCAGAAGGTCAAAGACGCTGAGTTGGCTGAAGAAGCCAACTTGAAACACGCGGAAATGAACAATGAGATGGGCGAATGTGTATGCTGCTTTGACGACGTTCCTCTGAACCGCATGATTAGCTGCAACGGAGACATTATCCACTTCTATTGCGTAAACTGTCCTCGTCAGCAGATTGAAACGCAGATGGGCCAGTCTCGCTGCAGACCCAAGTGTTTTGGAGTCGATGATTGCAACGGAACATTTACGCGGCGACAATTGCAACAAGTCTTGAGCGACACGACTTTCGAGCGACTAGAGCACATGCAACAGAGAGAAGACTTGGAAGCGGCTGGTCTGGACTTTCTCTCCGAATGCCCATTCTGCGACTTCAGAATGGAGTGCCTGCCAGTCGAGGTCGACAAGGAGTTTCGATGCGAGAATCCCAAGTGTGGCAAGACGAGCTGCCGTATTTGTGAGAAGGAGTCGCATATCCCGCTCAGCTGCGAAGAATCCAAGAAAGACGGCCAGATAACCTTACGACACATCGTCGAAGAAGCTATGTCAGCAGCGCTGATACGACATTGCAACAAGTGTAAACATCCGTTCATCAAAGAACTTGGCTGCAACAAGATGACATGTACGCACTGTAGGAACGTGCAGTGGTAAGCTCCAACATGAAAGTATCGTCACTGAAGCTAATTGCAATGCAGCTACGTTTGCTCCAAAAACGTGACCGACTATAACCACTTTGGCGATGCTGTGGGAGGCAAATGTCCGTTACACGAGAATATTGAAGACCGCCATGAACAAGAGGTTAAGAGGGCAGCTGATGAGGCCATGGCCAAAGTTCGGGCTGATAATCCAGACCTTTCAGATACGGATCTGATGGTGCAGGTATCAGATCGTGTCAAGCAAGCAGAGGATGCGCGCAGAGGTCGAGCAACAGCAGAAGCACAAGCATTTCCTTACCACATGGTTGGAGAGCAGCTCAGACATGCGCCTATAGGGCCTCCCTTGCCCGCTATACCGGCCTTTGGCCGCCCTCCACCAGTGAATTTAGCCCCAGATCGGTATGTGCACCCTCACCCAGGAGTTATTCCTGTACCCGCCTTTGGATACCGGGTCCAACCGATCCCCTTCTATCAACCCTTCTATCCCGTTCAACATATTGGTTACCATGGTGCTGTTCCACCACAACAGTTTGTGCAACACCCCATGGTTGCGCCATGCCTACGCTGTCATTTGTATCATCCGCCTAACCAATATTGCTAGACCTCGGCCATTAGACGCCCTTTGGAATATGCTTCCACCCAACCCGCTCCGGAATCTCGTCAACGCGGTTGGACCAGACGATGAACGAGCTCAACAGGCACATCGTCTCGCTGCTGTTGGAGCTGTCGATCGTTTCAACCTTGACCGAGTCCAACTTGGTCATCACCACGATCACCGCGACATGTTTCGTCGACCTCAAGAGGCCAATCACCAGGCCCCACAGGTCGACCGGGAAGCTGGAGTGATTGCTGCCGGACTTCGGCTTCAAGAGGCCAACCGTGATTATCTTGAGTTTCGACAACAGCGGCGAGACATGAGGCGACTGCAGAGGCTTGAAGCCGATGGCGTTCAGGTGGAAGGGCTGCTGCAACGAGATGCTGAGGCGTATGTTGAAGCTCGTCGAACTGTGGTGGCTGAGAGGCGCCGGGATCGTGCCCCAGCGGCAGTGCCAGCGCTCAGGGCCAGAAGACCGCATGCCCCTTGAGGATGGTAGCGGTTCGTTTCTTTCGCTTTACAACGTTCTTGATACTACATAGCATGACATCAGGGGATTGGGCTATGCACGATGCGTATATGCACCGGGTGATTCGTAAAAGATGAGGAACATTTGATACCTTTTAGAACATTCAAGTAGCGCAAAGGTGGTCACAGGCTTATAACTTATTCATTCATCTAATTGAAAATACTAGAGAAACTTGTCTTTGAACTACCCTCGTCCTTGCTCTCAAATTTGGCTTTGCCTTCTTCTATCCAATTCTCAAAGCTGAAGACACCTGCCTGCACACTGCGTATTGGTATGACACTGGCGCCACCCAGATCCCTTCCTTCCCTTTCTCTCAGTATCCCTAGCTCAAAAGCTTCCTCGTCGAGCTCCTCTCTAAACAAAGCCTGCTTCGCTTTGCCTCTCCCCTTCTTCTGCAAACTAGGTTGGACCGGCACCCATGTCTCTGTGTGTCCCATGGGCGGGTCGATTTCAGGCTCATCCTTGAGTTCCATACTGATGTTGAATGAGCAGTTTGGTGGTAATGGATCGAGTCGCGGAGCACGCACCGCAAGCGCAATCAAGGCAGCGCGGTACTGTTCGCTGATGTCGGCATGGATATCGACATCGAGTGGCTTTGTCTTCTTTCTCTTGATAGTGCCATCGTCATTGTATTCCACCTCGGGCACCGATGTCTCATCTTCCCACTCAATGTCTATGTTGCGGTCTCCCTTGGCTACGACCGGGAAGGCGCTCACGTCGAACATGTAGCGCTCCATTATCTTGCCGCTGCCTGACCCTTCGCCCTCATCCGGGTAGCTGAAGATGACGATGCCAATCCTGGCGACGATGCCGTTGATGAGCTCTTCGCGCACGGCTTTTATGGCGTCGGTGACCCACTCGCAGACGAGCGGATGGCGCGATTGGTAGACGGGGGCATTGTGAAAGCGGGCTTTGGCGAAGGAGGTGGGTGGATAGAGTTCGCGGAGGCAGAGGAGCGTGTGCGTGTAGGCCGTGAGGAAGACGGTGAAGTGGGAGAGGTTTTGGAGGTATGTTGGTGCCATGTTCCGCGCGCCTCTATTCGGAGTTGGGTATGATCATGACGCAGACGCGTCTTGTCGCGTGTGCGTGAAGGCCGCTAGCGTATCGATGAATGGTTGCCTGCCTGCTTCAAGGCTCTGGTAGGGTTGGTGGTGATCGGTATGGCAGATGTCGTGCGTATGCTGTGTTGACTGCCCCTGACATTGTTGAGAAGACCAACGTGGCTGGCAGGGGAGGGTCGTGGGAGGGCGAGCGAAGGTGCAGCCGCCCAGGTGTCGCGTTTCCTTCCCACGACCGGGAAGAAGCATCGTCGTCACCGCCCATCGGAGCGCATCGTGGTAATTGGCCACCTCGTTCCTTGCTGCAACTCAGCCGATGCTCCCAAACAGCCTCTTCTCTCGACATCCCCACGGTACATCCATCCGTCAGCCCTGGTAGGCTTATTGCTTCAGTTATAGCATCCGCTTAGCCACCCACCCCACTACCCAGAGATTCACGGAGTTGCCCCGCATCTCCGGGCGCGTTCTTTTTCCTCGTGCTCAATCGCCCAGCAACACCCATCAACAAACGCGTCAACAATCGATCCATCTTGCTCGCCAGCCGTTTTGGGGAGCGCTAGACGTGCCGACTAGCTCTATACGCGCAGGCCCCACGTTGAACATGGAGGACCAACTAGTCCAGCTGCTGTCAGCGACCCAAACCGCCCAGGAGGACACCCGCAAACACGCTGAGCAGCAGCTCCTCTCCCTCTACGGCCACCAGGAGCTCCCGCTGGGCCTCATTGGCATCGCCTGCCATGAGAGCGTGCCTCTCAACATCCGACAGGCTGCCCTGCTGTACATAAAGAACATCGTGCTGGCAGGATGGAGCTCCAGTATTGACGAATGGAAAGGGCAGGCGCTGGTCACAGATGAGAACAAGGCCATATTACGGCAACAGCTGCTCACTCTCGCCACATCGGACCAGCTTGACCGCAAGCTCAAGGCCGCCGCGGGCCTCGTCGTCAGCAAGATCGCAAGCGCCGACTACCCCATTGAATGGCCAGATCTTCTCGACAATCTTCTCGCACTGATACCGAACGCGACAGAAGGCCAGCTGCATGGCGCTCTCAGAGTCCTCGGCGAGCTGGTCGAAGACTCGTTCAACGAACAGACCTTCTTTGCCGTAGCGCCTCAGATGATCAAGGTCCTGTACGATGTGGCCACCAACGACCAGAGGAAGCCGACAATGAGGGCCTTGGCTTGCAAAGTCTTCCACGGCTGCTTCGACATACTAGAGTTGGTGCTGGAGGATCACAAGGCCATGGTCAAGAGCTTTGCCGACGAGATACTCAAGGAGTGGATTCCCTTTTTCGTCAACGTCCTGAACACTAGGCTCCCTGACCCGCCGTCGCAAGAAGAAGAAGACCAGGATACACCCAATGCCTCACTCTACAAGGGACAGATCGCTCTCAAGCTACAGTGTGTCAAGGTCAGTCATGTCGTATGATCCACTGCATACCCGGCAATACTAAACAATTAACAGGTCCTTATGCGCATACGGTCCCTCTTTCCTGCCATCATATCGCCACAGAGTATCGTCCTATTCCAGGCTACCTGGCAAGAGCTTTCTTTGCTTGAACCGGCATACTCTCTCATGTACATTCAAGAAGATCGTCAAAGCAGGCTAGAAGATGGCGATGGTCTGCCGTATACTCTGGACTTCCTAATCCTTGAAGAGCTGGACTTCATGCAGGCGTGCCTCCGCGCACCTCCGGTCCGCGCACAACTCGAACAGGAACTCCAGAACCAGGCGCCCGAAAACTCATGGGTAACCCAGGTTATGAAGCTGGCTGTGGCGTACGCGCAAATCACCACTGAAGAGGAGGGACTCTGGGATGTGGATGTAAACATCTTCCTGAGCGAGGAGACGAGTGTGACGGCGAACTACACACCCCGAACGGCCTGTGGTGATCTCGTCATCAAGCTTGGCGAATGGCTCACAGAACCTACCGTCAACGGCTTATTGACTTACACAAGAGCGCTATATTCCGAGTCCAAGGGTTGGAAAGCTGAAGAGGCTGCGCTCTATGTACTGAACCAGCTGTTGAGTGACTTCCAAGACGTAGAGAAGCAGATCAGTCCAGATACTGCGAGCGGCTACGTCGACTTCATCCGATATGCCATGCAGCAGCCCGACGCTTTCCTTCGAGCACGCGGTTACCTAGTCGCCGGGAGTCTGACAAGAACATCAGGAGATGCTCTGCAACAGCTTGGCACCTCATTCCTTGAGGCATCTCTGCAGGCCATTCCATCTGACGAGTCCGACGTTGTCCAAGTGTCGTGTATCCGAGCTCTGCAATACTACCTCCAGGCGCTCCCACACGCGACCACACAGCCAATACAGAACACCATCATCATGGCTATCAGTAATTACCTTGCCGCGCAAGACATGTCAGAGCTCAGCGACAGTGAGGATCTCATGGTTACTCTGGTCGAAACACTGCGAGATGCTATACTCATTGATACACGGATATGCATTACAGATAACGGTCTCGATACGCTTTTCCGGGTCGCCAGTCATCAAGCTAACAACTTCCAACTCACCATGCTAGTCACCGAGGCATTCGAAGAGGTGACTGAGACTATTGCGCGAATGGGTGGTGATGCATACGTCCAACTTTGCGCAAGGGTCCTTCCATCACTTATGGGCGCTTTCGACGTCGGAAGTTTGACGGAGGAGAACGCCTTGTGCAACTTTGCTGCCGATCTCCTTGCCGTACTTGCCGAGCATGGACCAGAGCCACTTCCTGCTGGATTCGTTGCGACGACTATGCCAAAACTTACACGAGTGCTTCTGGGCTCCACCGACGAGGAGTTGCTGAAGTCCGCCACGACTGCAGTAAAGAACATCATCTCGCACGACCACCAACAACTCTTCGAATGGCGGGACGACACTGGAAAGGCTGGCCTCGAGGTCACTCTCATTATTGTTTCGCGTCTGTTGTCTTCGTGCAGTGATCACGCTGCTGGCGAGGTCGGTGCACTTGCCGCCGAAGTAGTGGAGAAGGCTGGCCATGAAAGACTTGGTCCTTACCTGGAGCAACTGTTGCGAAGTGTCGCAGTCCGTCTTGCACAAGCGGGACAAGCTCAATTCATTCAAAGTCTGACGCTCGTGTTTGCGCGTTTGAGCCTGAATCACGCCTCGGAAGTCGTGGACTTCCTGGCCGGCCAGGATATCGAAGGTCAAAACGGCCTCCAGGTCGTCCTAGCGAAGTGGCTCGAGAACTCAATCAACTTCGCCGGCTATGATGAAATCCGACAAAAGTACGTACGAACCTCTCCGGAGATCGAGCAGTTCACATACGAACGGAGATTGCCTATCGGAAGGCTTCAGACCGTTCGGAATAAGTTGAACTCCCCTCTCCCACTACCTTTTATCAATCGTACATCGTTGCTGACCATGTGTTCTAGTGTTATCGCCCTGTCGAAATTGTATGATTTGAAGGACCCTCGTGTTGCACAGGTGCAAGTGCAGGGCGACTTGATACCAAACAATGACGGTCGGATCATGACCAGAAGTCGTGCGAAAAACAGTAAGCTTCTTCCATCATCTATCCTCTTGTTTACCTTTACGTTGTCATTACTGCGCTCGATGAGTGTCATGTTGTGGAGCATGCTTGTAGGCTACCGCGTCATTCTTGCAACCAAGCAATGCAAATCCTTTTTTTTTTCATCCACAAACTGACGCTCGAATCAGATCCTGACAAATATACCATAGTTCCTGCCCCTCTCAAGATTCTCAAAGTTCTCGTCGTCGAACTTCAGTCCGCCTCTGGCGCACCCCTCGACGCACAAGCTGCTGCTGAGCTCGCCGAAGAAGATTCTGGTGATGACGACTGGGAGGATGAGGTGAATCCATTTGTCGATCTTGGCAGTGGCTTCAGCAGAGAGCAATTGATGGCGTTTGCCGCAGAGGAGCCAGGCGGTGGTCGTCAGCGCGACGATGAGACTCAAGGCTTCCTGGTCGACTTCTTCAAGCGCGCGGCGACCACGCAGGGCTTTGCTGAAGAGTTCGGTCAGCTCACGGAGGAAGAGCAGCAACGGCTAAGAGATAGCGCTGCATAGTAAGTGTTGACGTATACGCGGTCTATACAACGGGCTGGGAATCTCTCTAGATTGTACGGATATGCGGTGGCATTCAAAGGTGTGATGCTCCTTGTCTCCGTCTGCATTTTGCACGAGATGCTTCACCACTAGGATTAATAGATATGACGTTGGATGAAGGATCACAATCAATAGATGATAGGAAAAGTCGCTTTTAGGAAAGACTAGCTACACTTAAGTTTAGCGAATACCATGAACACATACATATGAAGAGGCTTGTTTCGATGTCGCATGGTTTGCTCGCTCGATGCCCAAGAAGATGACGACCAGCCAACTGCAGCGCATTGCCGTCAATCAGTATACCGTTATCCGCAGGGGCCAATCGAGGAACAGCACTCTACCTTCTTTGACTGTAGTCTTGACCTTCTACCATCACAATCGCTGTCTACTGTCCTAAATTCGCCCATTATGGGCGAAAAGGCTACAGCCGTCACTCATGCTCCAACGCAAGACCAACCACCGGACACAGTACCGTACTCTATCTTCACCTGTGGCGAAAAGCGGTGGATCGTTTTCCCTGTCGCATACAAACAGATCTTACTTGACTCAAATGAAGCTCAAATCGAACAAGTCATCAACAGCAAGTTTTGGAGGCTCAACGGATGTTCAGCGGACAAGAATGCCCAGCCTTAAGCCGTGTTTCAAAGCCCTTTGGCAGAAGGAGAATGCATTGATTATGCTCATCAACGGCTTGTTCTATATGACTTACTGCTGTGTTCAAGCGTCACTTCCGACTCTTTTCATAATGATCTATGGCTTCGAGGAACTGTACGCAGGCTTGATATATATTCCATGTGGAGTCGGTTGCGCTTTGGCTTCTTATACTTGCGGTTAGTAGCATACGCAATATACACATAAGAGTGGGAGCTGACAAACGCAGGCTATGTCATGAACTGGGAGTATCGGAGAGTCGCTTCCAGCTTGGGTTTCTCAATCGATCGAACACGAGGTGATGACCTCCTGGAATTTCCCATGGAGAAGGCTCGCTTGCGCGCCACGTATTTCTACATGGGTGCTACAGCTGTGACCACCATTGGGTACGAATGGGCTTTGGATGGGCATACGCATTTCTCTATACCTCTGATTCTCCAGTTCTCTATCGGTGCCTCAATCACCGGGGTATTCAACGCTTGCGGCACTTCACTTGTCGATGTCAATCCGACCCGCCCCGCAACAGCTAGTGCAGCTGCCAATCTATTCCGTTGCCTGCTTGCCGCCGCAGCTCTAGCAGCCTTAGATACTATCATCTCAAAGCTAGGAACTGGATGGACTTTCACGTTGTTGACAGGTCTTACTTCATTAGCAGTGCCCATGGCTTTTAAACTACAACACACTGGAAGAAATTGGAGACAGAAAAGTCGGAACCAGTCATCAAAGTGATGACATCGAGGACTTTTGATGAACTCAATGATATATTTGGGAACTATCAATATAACACAGGTCTACACCGACAATGTGGGAATACTTCGGTCACTCTAGTTATCTGCTTGTCTGACATAGCTTCCTTCTCCTTGTCATACGGTTGCGGGTACTTCGCCCGGCACTCTACTTCGTGGAGGTTCTTCTCCTGTCGGGTATGGTGCGTACTTATCGACTAGGTAGCGCATGTCGTTGTAGGCCCTATGACTATGTAAGTCGATCTGTCATTCAATCTTGATAACTGCGACTTACGTTTCTCTAACGATAGATCCAGGATGATACGCTGAATGGATGATGTTCATCTTGATACATTACAAACGATTGCGGTCTTCGAATTCCTCTGCCGACTCACTCACAGTCATGTTTCGGGGGTACTGTCGCTTGTATTTTCGCGATTTGATCTTATGTCTTTCGCATCGCCACATACCGATCTCCATTCCATGGTGAGCGTAATATGCGCCAGCATCGAAGATATAGACGTCCCCATTCGAAATATCTGTCCCGCCGTTACCTTCCCAAAGGTCTCCGTGGATGAGCGATGGTTTGATCTGACGGCTATCTTCTTCGAGCGCGCCCAAAATCCTTGGGATCACATGGCTAAGTGTACGCTCTGAAACTGCCTCAAATTCTGGCCATGGGCTACATTCTTGCTTTTCGATGACGAGAGCAGCTCGAAGCAGCTTCGTGAAGAAGTTCGTCCAACTCGGGTCCCAAGCCATTTTCTGGGCGAACCTACCATGATAAGTAGAGACATGGAAACCAAATATCCCAGTCGGAGATTCACTTGTCCTGTTGAGTTCTGCAAGCTTGGCGCAGAACTGGACGGGGTCCGGCATTTCATTGGTCATGTTGATAAAGTCGCATAGGAAGAAATACGTCTCTGGCGTCTTCATTTTGAACTTACCCCAAGTCAGAGGCTCGGGAATAAACCCCGGCGAATTCTGGTAAAGAGAGCTCATGGAATTGAACTCTCCCTCCATCATCACGCGACCAGGCTCTTCGGTTGCAACCTTGAGGAAGAACTTCTTCTCAATTCCGCTAGGAAGTATAACGTTCAGACGGGCTGTGACAGTCCATGCGGAGGAGCCATAGCTGTGCGCAGACAGAACTTTGCTGCCCTCCAGTAGAACTGTACAAGGCTGTGAGCTCTAAGCATGTTATGACCGCTCTAAGGACTTGCCTTGGACTACAGCGTCATCAAGAGAAAAGTCACCCTCAACACCAGTGCTCAGGCCTTCTTTCTTCGCAGTTGAGTGTACTGATTTCGACATGCCAGGCAAAAGTAAGGTAGAGCTCTTAGAACCTTCCATATACGACTAAGAACAAAACTTCTAGTTATACAAATATGTGAACTTCTAGTTCACATGGTAATTCACATGCCTGTTGTATGCAATCACTTGTATAAGTGGTGAGGTAGCTGTGAAAGGTACTCGATTGGCACTTGCGTGGTGAAATCGAATACGGAAGATTCGAGACATTCCAACCAGAAGTCCTTGGAAGCATTCATTGTTTGATACTCAGTCTCCCCTTACCAACATGGAGATATTGCTGACCATATCCTTGCACACTGCCTGTCGTGTAACAATATGTCCCCCTTGCATCTCTATTAGGTTAGTTCAATACAATACACATCATGTAAGCCGGAGCAGCCTCGTCCTACCCCGCTACTGCACGATGTGCACGATTATCGAAAATAGAAACAACAACACGCGCTAGAAGGGTGTTCGCATGCGCAGTGCATGCAGTTCGTTGCCCAGAAATAGGACTTCTACCTTGCCATCGATAAGGATGACAAGCAAACAAAGGAGGGGTTGCTGTGATGTACAAAGGGCTATCTTGACAAACCCTTGCTGCGGTTTAATGTGCTAGAGAAAGTGTTGCTGGAGGAGGAGTAGTAGATGGTGGTGGGGTGATGGTTTTTTCGGGCGCTTATGCAGAGTGACGAGTTGACACTGGCGGGTGGGCACGTGGAAGACGGAAGGGAGATAGTTACCCTTGTTCGATGGGCGGTTGCGCTTGAATCGAGACTGTTCTTGGTGTTGGCCCAGTCGCAAGTGAGGGTGGATTTGGCAGTGTTCCATGCCAGGTTGAGAAAGGCAGAAATCCTGGAAGAAGATGTTTGCGCGACGTTCAGTTACATCATACCCGTCATTGCTATGTCTCGTATCCATGTAGAACGGCAGTTTGCGTTGTTCAATTTGCAAGTGCCGCTGGAAAACTCATACATGCACACGCCTATCCGAGCTTACCTTCCAGCGCGCATTTCTACGGCATTTCTCAAAAGATCCCCAATCACGCTGAGGATAGAGCGCTTAATCTTCATTTTGGCAGCCCAAACCCACCCTCCAGCAAACAGAAAAGTGCAGCTGACCACGCCCACGATGCAGAAGTTCTGATCTCTCATTCGTCAATGTAACAAGCCTGAACGCCAGAGAGCGGTATAGACGTGGCATGTCTCTGCCTCAAACTTTTTACCCCTCCACACCCCTCACCTTGTGCTTTTAGACGTAACGCTACGCAAGCTATCATCGGCCACTTCCGAAAATGAAGGTGACTTCTAACAGTCGAGATCTCGATGCTCGCACAGCATGAACAATGTCGCATTGACCGATTAATGCCGATCTTGTGACGGCATCTCCATCTACCAGCCATCTCGATTCCACTCCGGCTTCATCCAGGAAGTAACCCCACCCAATTTGTGGTCAAAAACCTTGGAAGTTGCCAGACAGTGACATAGGCAAAGGCGGTTCACGCGGAGTGGCAGCGGGGTACAAGTGGATGTACCAAGTGGAGAGAAACTTGATCAAGTGGGTCTAGGCGGGGTTTAGTCTGGCTTTCGTCATGCCGCGGCTGCCATCATTCTCGCTTCGCTTCGGTTGCTTGATAGGAAGAAGGGAATAGGGGACCGGTTCATGCACGCTCGCACCGGCCATGTGTTTTGAAACACCGTAGTGTTGCTGGCCGATAGTGTGCGGTATATGTCAGGCTGCTGCATGAACTGCTGGTAGGTTTGTTAGTGAGCCGCAACCTGGACATCAGGTGTTCTGCGAGCATTGCACATGCACCCCAGATTCACCCTGCTGCAATGATGCGATTGGGGATCCAGACAAAGTGCTCGCCCATGGTGATGTGATGGGCTTGCCTGTTTAGCGGAATGATGTCGTATGGTTGCGTCGGAATGCGATCCGATGCGACGGAGAAAGGCCCAGATGCAGCAATGTTTGCTGGGTCGAGAAGGTCATCTGGAAGTCTTTCCCAGGGCGTTGAGGAGCGATCGCGTTTGGTACTTCGGAATAGAGAATGCTACTCGTTCACTGGAGCGATTTCCACAAACGATCTGAGTACCACACATTCAGCCGTGGAAGTATCACATCCAAAAGAAGTAAGATGCGATCCTCACCAATCAACACAATGCAACCCAACGCCGCTCACTCAGCTCGTGACACCCACCGAAACCAAAAAGCCAAATAGCAGTAACTTAGCAGACGTCGTGGAAGCGATAGCCCTGGTTCCAGCCAACAGACCCCGTGAAACCTTCCTCCAACCTCCCGTCTTTGTCATACACCCACTCGCTCACACTACCCTTCCATCCGAACATCCCGACGACGTCTCTGTGCCTGTCGATCCCAAAACGCAGATGATGCCAATTCTGCTACTCATTCAAACTGTTGCCTAATCACCCATGTCAGGATGCCCTTGCACGTTGTAACTCGTATTAAGACCGGGGATGATGGGAATGCGACAAGGTTGCCTATCAAAGGAGCTCCCGTGCCCAGGGATGATGCGACGCCTCTTAATCTTGAGGGACTCTGCGCTAAGGAACGGATGGGATGGGTGGCGTGGAATTTTGCACAACGGGAAGGGAGGCTGATAACGTTGAGCCGCATATGTGGCCGCAATTAAGGGGCCTTTCATCATTGCGCTGCGTAACCCTCGAGCATGTTGCCTTGAGGGACTGTAGAATTACTGCAATATCATCGGCGCATGCAATGTGCGCGAGCTGTAAGTAGCCATCCCAAAGCTCCGGGCCTTACCACCCACAACGCAGTCGTAAATAGCACTTTGTGCACTCTTCCCAAACCCAACCGTTCCTTTACACAGTGTGAGCATTGTCCTATTCCTGCACCGGGCACGGTATGATATCAAGATAGCAAACCGCTGTCGTTCCGCTCGTCCAATCTCAAGGGTCAGGCCAGGCCCCAGGCGGCACGAACTCACATGCATGTCTTCGATTGGACATGTGAATCCTTCCCGCTCCGTGCTGCACAACCGCCACATTCAGCCATGGGGCCAAAGAAGCAAAAAACATGCCTTGCCTCTTTGACTGAACCTGCAGCAGGCTTCTATGCACAGCGCTTCTTCTATGGTAAGGCTGAGAATAAGCCAAAACAGCCAATGGGGTCATGAAGATGGATGTGCAAGCGCCGGTTGGCTCAATACACGTGGTGGTGATGCAGCACAGGACTGTGACTCACAGTGCGACAGCGGCTCGGAGGGGCTGGAAACGTGTCAAAGAGGGTGTGCGAACATGTGAAATTGGTTGGAGACACAAAAGCACATGTCCGAGACTGATCTGAGGTGCGATAGGGTTGGTTGTGTCTCAGATGCCATGTGTGGCTTGCTATGCAGGGGCCGTGGCTTTGGGAGATCGCCACCGTTGGAAACTTTGATAGTGTATGGGAAAAAGCGACGCATGTGGGTTTGATAGGCGAGTGGGATTGTAAATCACATAGATTTTTGTCACATGGGGCAAGGCAAAGTGAGCAGATGATTGAGTAATGTGTAATAAATTGATAGATAGCAATAGAGTGGTAAGTGGGTATAACTAGTTTTGACCGTGAGGTACCGATCTTTCTGATGAGATATCCGTAGAAATCTCCCAAATCTAGTGGACCAACCCAGAAGACAAAGTGTAGTGGTATCCCAGTACCCCAAAAATGACAACCTGAACACCATGCGTAACCATTCCAAACAGCAAAGTAACAATAGTTGGCTTAGAAAAACAATACAAGTAAGAAGGGGGATATCATAGTAGAAGGCAGACTTTTTCCTGTGACCCGCTCGATGCGTGAGAAAACCCAGTGTTGTACATTGTAAACGTGCAAAGCAAAGAAAGTGCAGCAGGATTAACAATTACGAAATGCAAGAAAGGGTATCTCGCGATAACATCAAATAATGCGCAAAGCAATGACGGGAATGGAAAAGGGTATACCGAGACAGAGAACGCTAGCGCCAGAGCGTCTAGGTGTGAAAGGTAGGAGATCCTAAGCAGATGGGTATCGAAGGATGTCCTCGCAGTTGGCATCGAAGCGCATAGACCAGAGACGCATTCCAGTCATGAGCTTCTCGGTCTTCTCAAGTTCTCGGTCGCGACCGAAGATGGATTCGACAAACTCCTTGCCGCTGTTCTTGCCCATGGAAACAGGCTTCTCTTTGCCGCTCTCCTTCTTAGCGGCCTTCCACATGTAGTCTTCGCACACCTTGAGGAGCTTGGCGAAGCGGACCCACAGGCGTTCGCCACTCTCTAGGAAGTCTTCGACCATTTCGTGGTTCTCCTTCTTGCGGATCTTGGGCATGGTCTCGTCAGCCCTCTTGACTTTGCCGGCGAGTTGGATGAGCAGGAGCCAAAGCTCACCTGCCATCTCGGCGAGCGGGGTTGCGGGGCCATAGTGGAAGACGGTCCAGTCGTAGATCCATTTGCCAAGGGAGTTGGCATCGAAAACGGAACCTAAAAGCATAATGGGCTCCTCAGTGGGATCCCAGTTCTTGTACGAGTAGCCGGCGGGGATACCAGCGCGGCGCGCATCTTCTTCGGTGGCCTTGGGGGCGGACTTGGCTGCTGGCGCAGGCTTCTTCGGTGAGGCAGCTGGCTGTCGTGTGGAGGCTGCAGAGGCGCGTCGTTGACGGCTTGGCTTAGGCTCTGGCTCATAAATAGGGACCTGATCATAGTAATAGTGATCAGCATCCCTCCCGTACATGTCGTGGCGCGCATACTGCTCGTATGGCGGTGGTGGGTAGTCGTGAATGTCGTAATCGCATTCGTAGCCGTAGCCTCGGTCGTCGTAGACAACTTTGGTGTAGACGTGACGTGCCGACTGCGACGGACGACGCTTCCTCTCGCGATTGCTGCGCTTGAGAGGCGGGACGTCTGTGTCGCGGCGATGCCGACTTGTTGGAATATTGTAACCGAAATAACTTACATATTCAGGGGTGCCTCTCGGCGTCGCGTATGTGCGCGGGTCTGCAGCGCCATACTGAGGCATGGCCCCTC